CCTTTCTCAGTAACTGATACAACAAGCAGACAAAAAATTCAGTATGAGGCCTAGTTGACATGATTATCGAGCTGACTTGTTATTCATAGAACACTGTACCCAAGAAAAGCCGAACATACATTCTTTTCATATGGAACATTTTCCAAAATTGACCATATGCAGGGCCCTGAAGCAAGGTTCAACAAATTTTAAAGAACTGAAATTATTCAGTGTGTTCTCTGATCATCATGGAATTAAGCTAGAAATCAATTAGAAAAGATCAACTAGAAAATTCCTGAAAATTTGGAAATTAAGCCATTCATTTATAAATGATCCATGGGTCAAAGGAGAAAGCACAACAGAAATTACAAAGTATTTTTAACAATGAAAAACAATGAAAGTCTAACATAAAAAAATAGGATGTAACTAAGCTATATTGAGAAGATGATTTATAGCCTTAAAAGCATATTAGAAAAGAAATAAAATCAGTTATTCAAGCAGCCATCTTAAGAAGAAAAAGAATAGCAATTTAAACCTGAAAATGTGGACAGAAGGAAGTAAGAGTAGAAAGTAATGTCACAGAGACAGACATACAATACAGAAAATCATCAAAGCAAAAAACTGGTTCTTTAAAATACTAAGAAAGCTGATAAACCCAGGAGCAATACTGATAACAAAAGACACACACAAGTTATCAACACCAGGAACAAAAAAGGGGACATTGTTACAGATCCTAGAGACAAATAATTAATAAGATATGAACTTTATGTGACTAAATTTACACATTTAAGATGGAAAACTTCCTAGAAAAACAACTTACCAGAACTGATACAAGAAAAAATAGAAAATATGAATACTGAAACACATTTAATATTCATATCAAACTGCCTGATAGACACATAAGCTACGTCAGAGAACCATGGAGTTATCCCTGATTGCCCTGAAAGAATATCTTCCCTCTTGTAGCCGTAAGGCTGACACAGGGATAAACCAGAAGCAGTCTGATCCTGCAGGTTACTGACTTACAACACAGGTTGAATTCATAGCTTCAGCAGATTTCTTAAGTGAAAATTACAGTATTTGGGGGTAAAAGTGCAAAACTGAAAAGTAGAATGGTAATATTTGAGAGGATTCTAATAACTCCAATCACCCCCAAACCCCAAAGATTTCCCTAGTCAACAGAAACAGCTCCTCCTCCACTATCTAATGAGAATGGCTTTGACTTTCTTGAATACCCTGTAATGACCACACCAAAATAAAATTCCAATTCCCCTCATTTACCAGTCCTACTACCTCCTACTGCCTCTAACCTATGACTAAGACAAACCCTCAAATTCTGTATAATTCCAAAGACAAACCTTGTAAAAGAAAGCTTATATATTAACAGAATTACAAGAATTTCGTAACTCTTGATGAATATGTGTCCAAAGGATTCTGAGGATGCTGGACCGGGAAGGAGAAACATAATTTAGATGAAACTGAATTTATTGTTTTGGGCACATTTCAATTCAAGTGGTCACAGGTGATGATCTAACTCATGTTCCAACCATGGGGGCCAGGTACAATTTTGTACCCCATCCTCTAACAGTAGCTGGATCCTCAGTGCCTTGAAACCCAGTGAGGTCAGACAACTAATGCAATCCCATTTCCTTGTGGATCTATTTCCTGTAATATTTCTGGATACCAATTACTTGATCAGCATTCTTATTTTCAGAAAACAGAATCCCCTCAAGCTAGTTTAAGCAAAAAGAATTTATTATGCAGTATAGATAGCTCATAGAATCACTGAAAAGGTTTCAAATGGAGTCCAGGCTGAATTCTAGGAATGACTCCCAATCCCATACCACAGAAGTGAGCTTGCAAGGTACAGTGCTGCTTCTACAATCAGGAAGCGACCTGCCACACCAGAAGGCCTCCATCCACACAGCCACCAGCTCCAAAACCACATCAGCCTCGGTAAGATCCAAGCCTGCATATTAAATAGACGCCTCAGGCCCTGCTTCTGTCCCCACATAACTCACTTCCGAATCAAAGTCTCACACAAGTGCATCTGATCAGAGAAACTGTGGTTTTGTTTGGAATCTTAGCTCTAAAGGAGTCTGGGAAGCAGGCATCCTTTTTCATAACAACGTATTGCTCAGTATGAATGTGCCATAATTTATTCAACATTTCCTTTCTGGAAGACACTTAGGCTTCTTCTGTCTCTGCTGTTAAAAACTCTGATGTATACCTTCATCCTAACTACACCCCTGTAAGAAAGGACTATGATCCTGAATATATCTTTTTTTTTTTTTGCATGTGTGTATGCTTCTGGGCTTGAGATTGAATTTCCTGGTCATAAGCCATTGTTTTTTCATCTCCCTCCCCTACACTTTATCTCCCTCCTCTACCCCCCTTAAAGTCTAACATGTTCCTTTCCCAAAGAGAACAAATATATACTGAATGAATGGGTCAACCTGCTTTTCTTTGGCCTCAAAATACTACTTGCATTTGGGAATTTCAGATGCAAAATAGCCTGGCTCACTTTTTTTTTGCTACAGCATATCTGGGTCAGGCATCTTGAAAAAGTCCCTAACAGAATATTGTGTCATCTCCCACGCTTTTGACTAATTCATTTTTCATAGCTGAGTGCCAGTTGTCTGTAACCAATTAAGAGCAATGGCCCATAATGGTGCTCTCTGCTTATAAAAATGCATTTCACAACCCCAGCACAAATATGCAACTAGTAGAGGTAGCAGTGTGATGCACCCTGAAATGAGGTGTCAGAACAGCAGCATGTGGAGTCACATGGAAGAGAACCCTGGAGGAGAAATATTTACATACATTTTAAAATGTACTTTTTAAAAAGTGCTCCCAGGCAGTGAAGTACTGAATATGAAATGTGGAACATCTTTATTTTTCTGAACTTCATTTTCAATAACCATAAAATGGGGGTAAAATCTACTTTTATAATGCTCTACGAGGATTAAACAAATGTTAAACTAAAATATACTACTGCTGTTACAAACGATATCTGCAAATAAATGTGTCACAGATGTCCTAGAACATGTTAGCTAAGAAGGGCTGGAAGCTGTCTACTGACCAGTGATAGATCAGTCAAGAAGTAAATTTTCCCAAAGTTAGTACCCTTCTCCCTAAGTGATTTTCTCTCCTCATTCTGGCCATTAACAGATCTTGATGTTTGTCCTACCCCAGAGCCCAGCTCTAGCCTGTGCCTCAGCAAGTAGGCGGCAGCACGAAGCGGGTGAGGGTGGAGAGGGCTGCTGCAGCAGAGGAGAAGACAAAAACCAAAGCGTGCTTTCCACGAGCTCCCTAACTCGTGTATATAAATATGCTTTGTCTAAATAGAATCATTTAAATGTTCTGTGTGACTGCCTTTAAAGACTTGTAGCCTGCCTATATGCCACGGTGAGATCCCAATTTTAGCCAGGCCACTACTGAAGAATCAATAAAGCTTGGTGGGCTAGGCGCAGACTGCACTTAACAGCCACGTAACTGTGTGTCAATTACTTAACCTCTCTTGCACCTCTGTTTCTTCTTTATATTAGGGATCACCACAAGTCTACTGTGCAGGTTAAATGTGTTATTTAGAAAACATTTAGAACAATGCCTGCCACAAGGAAACACTACCAATGCAATTAAAAATAATCAAAAAGCAGCTATTGATTTGGTAAACTAGTCATTCTAAAATTTTTAGCCCTGGGACTTCCCTGGTGGTCCAGTGGTTAAGAATTCCGCCTTCCTTGGGGACTTCCCTGGCGGTCCAGTGATTAAGACTTTGCTTTCCAATGCAGGGGACGTGGGTTTGATCCCTGGTCGGGGAACTAAAATCCCACATGCTGCGGGGCAACTAAGCCTGCATGCTCCAGAGCCCGCGCGTCACAACCAGAAAGAAGCCTGCATGCCACAACGAAAATCCTGCACGTCCGCAACTAAGACCCAATGCAACCAGATAAATATTTTTAAAAATAAATAAATAAAAACAAAAATTTTAGCCCTGTTATCTCAAATGTATTGCCCCAGCCTTATTTTACTACACCACAGATCCAGGGTTGTTTTATCCACTTTTCCTTACTATTCTTCTCTTAGTATTACATTTTCACTCCTGCTCCTAGATTTTACTACTTCTTGTACCTGTAACACTTGCCATGGTCTGGCTTGCCTTGGGTATAGGTGTCTGCATCTGCATCTTGTGGGGTCTCCAACGTTTAAGACTCCTGTGGACTACTTCAGGATCACCTGGGGAGCCCAGGAGGCTCATCAGTAGGCCTGGGGCTGACCTGGAGATGTGACTTTTCTCATTTCCTCAGGTGATCCAGCTGTGCATTCAGATCTCTGCAAAATTTTGAGTTTCCAGAAGACAAGGGCATAAGTTCTAACCATTTTTCTGTTCCTTTACAATGCCTTAATTTGTGCCAGCACTCAATAAGTGTTTTGGGGTTTTTTTGGTTTTGTTTTTTGTTTTTGCCAATATATGGTTTTTGAAAGAAAGTTGTCCTTATCTGAGGATGACATAGGCCTGGGGGCTTCATGACTGTCAAGTGTGTATATGCAAGAAAAGCAAAGGAACAAACACATAGCTGAGGAGCAATTCTATCCTTTCAGCAGTCCAGAAATCTGCCAGTGGCAAAACCACTACAGATTGTTACTGCCATTATGTTGCTCACGATTTGTAAAACTGAGGTTGAACTGTAATCACTACTCTGGAAGCTGCTCCTCTATGAAGCAACCACCATAAAGATGGTCTATTCGGTTGGACAGTATTTAGTTTGCCAGGGCTGTCACAACAAAGTACCACAGACAGGGGGCGGGGGGGAGGGTGCTTAAACAAGAGAAATTAATTTTCTCACAGTTCTGGAGGCCAGAAGTCCGAGGTCAAGGGGTCAGCAGAGTTGTTTCTTCCGAGGCCTCTCTCCTTGGCTTGCACATAGCAATCTTCTTCCTGCGTCTTCACGTGATCTTCCTCCTGGGTCTCTGTTCAAATTTCCTCTTCTATAAGGAGACCAGTCATACAGGATTAAGGTATGCCCTAAGGACCTCATTTTAGCTTAATCACTCCTTTGAAGACCTTATCTCCAAATACACTCACATTCTGAGGTACTGGGGTTAGAATTTCAATACATGAATTTTGAAGGAACACAATTCTGCCCAAAACAGATGATATCATTTATATACCTGAAGTTGTTTTTGAGTGTTTGACTCTAAGATGCAGCTTGGTGATCAGGTAATACAAGTTTACATACTTAATAAGGGGCTGATAGCTCTGGCAACGTTTATGTTCCTCAAGACACACCAGCAAGTGTGAATATAGGTCAATAGGCTGAAAAGGCTGAAGCAGACTAGATCCTGTCACCTCTTTGCCCTCTGACGTACGGAGGAACTCAGCACACATGCAAGATTGAAACTCGCCTTTTAAGGAAGGAAACAGCAAACATGCATATACTGATCCACAAGAAGACTGCAAACTAAATAGTTTCTAGGCTTTGGCCTTGAAAACTCAAGTCACATCAGTTTTACTTGTCTCACTAAAATCTAGGACTTCTTGGGTCATGAATAGCCATATTTTAAGGATAGAAATCTGTGCTAGGATAACCTAAAACTAAAGAATATTAGCCAGTGCTCACTGTATGTTGAGCACTGTGCCAGCCCTTTACATGAATTAACATCAAACAATACTATGAAATGGGAACTCTTATTAGTAGTCTCTGCTTACAGTTAAGTAAAAAGAGGCACAGAGAGGTTACATAACTTGACTAAGCTTCCAAACCATCGTGCAGCAAAACCCAGATTGGAGAACGTTCAGCAGGGCTACAGAGCCCACACTCATAATATCCTGCCTCTGAATGTGACCATTTACCCAACAGCAGACTGATCCCAGCAGCAGCAACAGATGAGGGCACCTGCAATGGGCAAGGAAGGCTCAGAGTTAAATCTTGTCAAAGGGGCAGCTACTAATTTACTCATCTTGTGAGAATGACTTATAATGTGTCACTTAAGTCTAAGAGGTAAAAAAAAAAAAATGGAAGACACAGTTGTAAAGCAAGCAACAACAGCTACATTTTCACCTCAACTATTTCCCAGAATTCCTCTTTTACTGTTTTACATAAGGTTTATCTATCTTGGGCAGCACTTCAACTAGCACCTGGAAATGAAGAAATTTAACCCAGCGTGAGCCAGAGTTAAAGGGAGAAAGGTGCTTGTAGTTCTAGCACCGATGGTTTCCTGGGGACAGGAGTCGCTGCCACCAGGATGCCTTTACCAGCTCAAAAGGCTGAGATCTGAGTTGCCTCAGTCCCACCAGAGCTCCCTGATGAAGCCTTCATGGCCCAGTGTTGACAGCCACCTCTAACCACCATACCTCACCAACTCCCTCAACTGTAGACCTGTAGTTCTCCAAGGAGACAGCAAAGTAAAGGCACCACCTTAGGAAGGAAGAGGGCAGGGATGAGAGCTGGAAACACAGGGAGCATAGTTTATTTAAGCACTGTTATGCAGAAGCATGCGAAAATATAATTTCAAAGCTACAGTACTTAGGAAATACTTTCTCCACTTCTGACCTTAAGAAAAACTCAAGTTGTACCTCATTTTCCCTAAAAATACTCATTCCTCTCCGTCTACAAAATGAGATTACAAGAGGAATCGTATTTTTTAAAAAGTTTTTATTTTAATCCTTCCTAGAGGAATACAGATTTGAATGAAATACATTCATTCCATAAATACATTAGCAGCAAAACCTTCCCACCAAGGTTCTCTCTACTCCAGCCCAGAGGTCGCGCCTTAGAGCAGGAGAGCATGTTCCATCAACCGTCAACTTCAAGATGTGTTTGCTTCTTGCTGAAAGCAGGAGATGCATGAGAGACAAGGTGAAAAGATCAGATGGGTAGATAATTAAGCTGGGACCCTGAAAACACACCCACGTGGTGACCATTTAACCTTCTGCACTTCCCAAATCCTTTGGCATCCACCATGCTTAACTGATGAGGTCCTTCATTGTAGACAACTGGGAAGGCCTAATCTTGCAAATGCACCAATATCTCATCTGTCATTCTGAGTTGGCAACATTTTAATGGTGTCTTGATCCTTTTCATAGGGTAAGCCAGATAGGAAGGATCATTCCCTCCTTCCTTCCCTGGGCCAAGGTACCACTTTGCCAGCTGGGTCCACATGTCCTTGTTATCAGGAGACGATGCAGCAGGCATTACTTGGCTTGCTACACCCCCAGATCCCCTTTGTCTGGGTGCTGGAGGCTTCACTGGAGACAGAGACATGTCTAAACCTACAAAGACCTCTAAGGAACAACCACCAGATCTCTTACCCCAGCTTCAATCAAAGCTAGCTTCTTGGACAGTGGCCCAGGCATCTCTCCTTTTCTTCTCTCCATCAGTGCCTACTGCCTGGCTGCTCCCTTTTTTATCTGTCCTCTAGGTACCTGCTGAAATTTTGGGAAGCAAGACCTACCCTAAACTCCCAAGCAGCCAGGAGAGATTAAGGTAGGTGGTGCTTTAAACTTGTTAGCTGCAGTCAAGAGTAACAAGCTTACGTTGTTATATTCCAATCCATTCTGGGAAGTCACAAGTCTGCATAAAACAAAACACCAGAACCATAATCAGGACGACTGTAAGGCAGGGACCAAGTTTAGAGTGCTACCAAATCAGTGGCTTGGGAGAAAAATGGAATAATGAAAGAATTTAAAATAAATCTGATTTGTTTGGGCAGAGAGCAGCTCTGACTCAGGCATAAATGTATCACCCAATTATGTAAATAAAAAATAGATCTCAGGGCTTCCCTGGTGGCGCAATGGTTGAGAGTCCGCCTGCCGATGCAGGGGACACGGGTTTGTGCCCTGGTCCGGGAAGATCCCACATGCCGCGGAGCAGCTAGGCCCATGAGCCATGGCCCCTGAGCCTGCGCATCCGGAACCTGTGCTCCGCAATGGGAGAGGCCACAACAGTGAGAGGCCCGTATACAGCAAAAAAAAAAAAAAAAAAAAAAAAAAGATCTCAAAAGTTGACACTTTCCTCCCCATACGCTACTTAAAAATAGGATACATGCTCTTTTTTCAATCTTTCTTAAAGTGTTTTCATTAGGATACTCTTCTATAAGTGCTTTATCCGTTCCCATTTAGTCTGTTTTGACTGTTGGCTGGAAGGAAATCAGAAATTATTTTATATAAAAAGCACGGTAGTGGATAACTGGTCATGTGTGTTTTTCCCTTTTGTATTTTCCATCCGAAACAGCTGGCTCCTTTTCCTTTCATTTATGTGTAGACAGAGCCTCGTCCGCGGGATACACAGCACTGCTAACCCGGCAGCCTTCTGCCCCCACAGGGTCCGCGAGCTCCTCCTCCTCCGAGTCGTCTTCCTCCTCCTCCTCCTGCGCTGATGAACTGGACGTGGGCCCTTTGCAGGTTTTCAGGTGTCGGGTGAGATGATATTTGGTTAGATAAGCCTTTGTACACTTTTCACAGACATAATCCCGTTTTCCTTCATGTGAATTGAGATGTTTCTTTAAGTGATTTGTTCTCAAGAACAGCTTATCACACTTGGGGCACTTGATCTGGCGTTCTCTAAGAGGAACACAAGAAAAAAACATTTGATTTGGGGTTACAAATGACAACTGAGGCACACGCTTATTCTGCACAACCTCAGACCTTTGTCAGAGAAGCTCTACCCAAGTAGAATCAAACTTTTTTTTTTTTTTAACAGGAGATGTATCATATAGAAGAGTCATAAAACATTTGTAGTTTAAACACCATAGACTGATTCTGCTTGTTTTAGAACTCTATGTAAATGGGATCGTACTGTATGTATCTCTCTTGTGTTTTGCTTCTTTCACTCAGTATGATGTTTCTGAATTTCAATCAAGTTGCTGTATCAGTAGTTTGCTCCCTTCCATGGCTGTAAGCTACTTACAAATATACCACAACTTATCTGTGGCACTGGCTCTGTCTGTTGTTAATGGGTATTCTGGTGCTTTCCAGTTCTTTATCACCACAGGCAAGACTGCTATGAACATTTCTACACTGCTGTGTGGATTTGCATACGCATCAGTTCCTCTAGGGCAGGGGTCCACGGCCTGTTCGGAACCGGGCCGCACAGCAGAGGTGAGCAAGAGAAGTTTCATCGGCCGCTCCCCATGGCTCGCATTACCGCCTGAACCATCTCCGTCCCCCATCCGTGGGAAAACCGTCTTCCATGAAACCTGTCCCTGGTGCCGAAAAGGTTGGGGACCGCTGCTCTATGGCATATACTCAGGAGAGGCATAGCTGGATCAAAGGATATGTACATCTTCAATTTTACTAGATAATGCTACGCTGTTTTCCAACATGGCTGTATTGATATACACATCCATCAACAGCCATTTGAGTTCCCGTTGCCCCACATTCTTACCAACTGGAAAACTCAAATTTGAAAACATTTGCCAATTGACCAATACACAATGGTATCTAACTATGGTGTTACGGTAGCCCCTACAACAAAAAATTATCCAGCTAAAGATGTCAGTAGTGTCAAGGGTGGAGTAAACTTGGCCTAGACATTTAGAGCTGAAAAGAAACTTAGGGATCACACAGAGCAGGAATTTTTTAACTCTTTTTTTGAGCAGCTGAACCCTACGTCTTAATGAAAGTCCAATATGTGAAGCAAATAAAAGGGGGTTAAAATCCTTGATGGAGTGTGAGGGTGCAGCGGAAAGTTCTGAAGCCTGGTTTCCTTAGCATTTCTACCACCTTCTCCCAGTAGGACGTGGCAGAGAAGAATTCTGTGGAGCTACAGGACAGGGAAAACTCAGTCCCTGCCTTCATGGAGCTTACATTCTAGTGGAGGACTCACACCATAAACAAATTAAAAATATATAATGTGATATCAGATAGTAATAAATACTATTAAAAAAAATGAAGCCAGGTAAGAGTGACAGAGTCCTGTTTTAGATGAGATAATCAAGGAAGGCCATTCTGAGGAATGACAAACTTAAGCAGAAACCTGAATGAAGTGAGGGAGGAAGACAGGGAGATATCCAGAGGGAGAAGTTTCTAGGCAGAGGCAGAACAGTGCGAAGGCCCTGAGACTGTGTTCAGTATGCTGAAGTAGTAGCAAGGGGAGGCCCAATGTGGGTAAAATAGAACAGTATGAGAAAAGCAATAAAAGATGGAGTGGGACACGTAATCAAGTACCACTACCACATCATGAAGGGACTTCTAGTCAATGAAGAATCACGACTGGAGATGTGCACAATCTGACTTATGTTTTAAATATATCACTCTGGCCACTGTGGACGAATACAGCGTGTGTGTGGCACCTGTGTGTATATCTGTGTTGGGGAATGGATGAGGAGAGAGAAGAGCAGCAGGGAAGTCAGCTGCGACACTACTGAAGTTGTCCATAAAAAAGATGCTGGTGGTCTCAACCAGGCAAGAGCTGAATGAAGGAAAGAATGGAAGACTGAGTTGAGGATGACTCCAAGGTGTTTGGCTTGAGCCACTGGGATGAATGGTGGTATCATTTTCTGAGCCGGTGAACACTGGGGAAAATCAAGTTTGTTGGGTTAATACGAAGAGTTGAGGTTTGGACTTATCAGGTTTGAGCTGCCTAGCGGACATCCAGAACTCAGAGATGCTGAGTGAATGGTTAGTTATATAAGGCTGGGGATAAAGATCACAAAGCCACGGGACTAAGGTAACGACCTAGAGAATAAGCGCCCCACTCGTACTCTCAAGTTCCTTTCTTAGAGGAAGGGCAAAGTCCCATGCCTTATACTCCCAGGGGAACACTGGGAGAGGAACAACTCCTACATTTGACTTTAGGGGCTATAGTTCAGATAAACAGAAAGAATTCCAATACGAACATATGCATTTTGAAATGCCTAAAAGTAAAGATACAAACAACTGAAAATTTTACCAATTATCTCTATAGGAAGTCTCATTCAAAAATATTGGTTGGGGGGGCTTCCCTGGTGGCGCAGTGGTTGAGAGTCCACCTGCCGATGCAGGGGACACGGGTTCGTGCCCCGGTCCAGGAGGATTCCACATGCCGCGGAGCAGCTGGGCCCGTGAGCCGTGGCCGCTGAGCCTGTGCATCCGGAGCCTGTGCTCCACAACGGGAGAGGCCACAACAGTGAGAGGCCCGCGTACGGCAAAAAAAAAAAAAAAAAAAAAATTGGTTGGGGAATTCTCCAGCATTCCAGTGGTTAGGACATTCACTGCTGAGGGCCTGGGTTCAATCCCTGGTTGGGGAACTAAGATCCTGCAAGACGTGTGGTGCAGCCAAAATGTGTGTATGTGTGTGTGTGGGGGGGTGTGTGTGTGTGGGGGGGTGTGTGTGTGTAGGGTGAATGGTGCTTCTTTTATGAATGACTTATACTAGCATAAAGTCTTGACAGTCCTAAAACAACTTTTATACCATGGGAGTTTGGCAGAGGCTTATTATATTTTGTCATCATGAGAAAGTGTCCAGATCCACATTTAAGAAAACTGCTTTCACTGGTCAACATCTGATAAAGCCAACTTCCACCCCAAAAGGAGATAAGCAGTTATGACTAATCTCAAAATAATTTCTATTTCATTATGCTGTGAAATGGCTACCATAAAAGCAAGTGCAAATTTACACATCACTTGAAAGAATAGAAAGTTAAGGTCAAGGAAGATAATAACTCCTCTTTATGTGTGGTTTTCAAGAAGTAACAATATAGCCACTTGCCAGAGATACTGTGAAACAAGTCTTTCATTTGGATCAACTGAGTAGCACTCAACACTGACTGGACATTAGACTCACTTGGGGAGCTTTTTAAAAATACCAAGGCCAGGGCTCTACCCCTGACCAACTAAATTAGAATCCCTGGAGCTGGGGCCCTGGCACCAATCACTGTTTTTCACATTTCCCAGCTGATTATCATGAGCAGTGTTATCGGTTGGATATTTGTCATCCCCCCACCCCCACTCCTAAATTGGTATGTTGAAGCTGTAAGTCATAATGTGATGGTATTTGGAGGTGGGGGCCTGTGGGAGGTAATCAGGTTTAGATGAGGTCATAAGGATGGGACCCCCATGATGGGATTAGTGCCCTTATAAGAAGAGGAAGAGAGACCAGAGCTTGCTCGCTCTCTCCACCATGTGAGGACACAAGAAGGCAGCCATGCGCAAGCCAGGAAGAAGGCCCTCATCAAAACCCAACCATGCTGGCACCCTGATCTCGACTTCCAGCCTCCAGAAGTTTAAGAATATAAATTTCTTTTGTTTAAGCCACCACCCAGTCTATGGTATTTTGTTAATGGCAGCTCAAGCTGACTAATATAAGCAGCTAGACTAAATGATCCCAGAGATCTCTTTCAGCCCTAATTATGTACAAGCATATCTAATATTTGATAATTAGTGTGTCAAATTTCTAAAATTTCATACTAAGAATGAAACCACTTAATGAAGACTTTGTTTTATAAGGTCACTTTGAGAGTTTGGAATGTAGATCCAGACTCCTTGGATGTTTTAGTGTTTCAGGTTGCACTGTGGCTATGAATCAAAGAGCTGGTATAAAAGCAAAATATTTATCTAAAACCCGTAATAAGAATATAAAGTTTCCATTTTTTATGGATTTCTAAATAATAATTCAAGCTAATGTTTTCTCCCTCTTCTAACACTTGCTAAAAGCTCAGGACCACAAAATCTGTTCTCTTTTCTCTACTACTACTGTAACTAACACAGGCTGGGCAATTAATTACACTTGGATCCATGCAATAAAATCCTAATAGGTCTCCCAATACTTGGCCTTCTCCTCCTTCAATCACCCTTTCCTGCTGCCAGAGTAACCTTTATAAAATGAACATCTCAAAAAAAAAAAAAGAACATTTCACCATGACATTCTTTCCCTTAAAATCCTTCAATGCCTGTGCAAGAATGTGAATACACGTAACATTACTAACTATATACTTAAAAATGGTTAAGACAGTAAAATTTGTGTTTTATGCCATAATTAAAATACACACATGCAGGCACACACACGAAGCACAGAATAGTTCCTGGTACATAGGTAGGAAAAATGCTTTGGTGACTCTCCATTATTTCCAGAATGAAATTTAATTTTTTTAGTTGGATAAAAGGCTCTTCATGATTTGTCTGCTGCCTCTCTCTCTCTCGCTCTCATATACACCCAATGCTCTAACTATAAAGAACCACTAGCGGGACCTCCTTGGTGGTCCGGTGGTTACGACTCTGTGCTTCCACTGCAGGAGCACAGGTTCGATCCCTGGTCAGGGAACTAAGATCCTGCATGCCACACGTGCAGCCAAAAAAAAAAAAAAAAAAGAAAAGAAAAGAACCACTCGCATTTCACAGTCCTTTTCGCATACTCCATTTCATCTGTCTAGAACAGTATTCTCATCCCTTACCCTTCACTGTCTCCCTGAATAACTCTAATTTATCTCCTTTAATGCTTGCTCAAACTACCAGGACACTTTCCCAGGACACTGCAGGCTGGGCTGGATCCTCCTCTCTGGTCTCTCAGGACCCAGCGCTTACCCTGACATCTGCAACACAGTATAGCAATTACTCTTCTGTCTCTTAATGCTCTCCAAGCTCTTTAAATCCAAGGACCATCTCATCTTTGTATTTTTACCACTTAGCACAGTGCTGGACATCAAGGAGGTACTTAGAAATTTGTTAATGAAATGATGTTTTGAAAATATGAAAAAAAAGGAAATACAGAGAGTAGAGGTGAAAAATAAGAAAAACAAACAAGTGAAATCTTCCAGGATAAACCAAAACGTTAGTTTTCCAACCTCTGCTTGGCTACGTGGAACACAGGAGGCACCAACGGGTGCCAAGGCAGGAGACAGGTGACAAGCCTCGTTCCCCGCCCGAGGGGTGTTGGGCTGCGGGCGACTCACTGTGTGTGGATGAGCACGTGCTGCTTGAGGTCCTGCCTCCGCATGAACAGCTTGTCACAGTAATCACACTTGAGGTTCTTCTCGCCCGTGTGGATAACCATGTGGGATTCCAGGTGAGCCTTCTGGGTGAAAGACTTGTCACACAAAGTGCACCTGTAGTTCTTCTGACCTGCACATCAACCCGAATTACCATACCATGAATAAAACTGCCACGAGCATTCTCAGGATGAAGAGGCACACTGTATGGGTATGTAGCAGAGGCAGTAATAAAACAGAACTGACTGTAAACTGGAACTTCACTTTCTGGGACTGTCTACCCAGAGCCACTCAGAGCCACTGAATTTATATTCTGCAACTAAAGCTAGTGAAGCTAACAAATCTGACCTCCTAGGACTGCTTACACACACACACACACACACACACACACACACAGACACACACACACAGACACACACACACACACTTTTTAATGTTTATAGCTAACACATGATATAAACTCTGGAAAAAAAATCACTTATAACCCCAGTGCCCAACTTAATTCAATTATTTGTTTTAAAAAACTCATGAAATCTAGTACTTGCCTATAAGCAAACATATTTTTACAACCTACATTTTAGTATTCTTTTTTAAAACATTTAATATGACCTTATAAACCAGGGATGAAATAAAATCCTTTTAAGAATGCAGAAATAGGGACTTCCCTGGTGGCTCAGTGGTTAAGAATCCGCCTGCCAATGCAGGGGACACAGGTTCAAGCCCTGGCCCAGGAAGATCCCACATGCCGCAGAGCAATGAAGTCCGTGCACCACAACTACTGAGCCTGCACTCTAGAGTCCGCGAGCCACAACTACTGAGCCCACGCACCGCAACTACTGAAGCCTGTGCACCTAGAGCCCATGCTCCGCAAACAAGAGAAGCCACCGCACAGCAACCAAGAGTAGCCCCCACTCGCGCCGCAACTAAAGAAAAGCCCACACGCAGCAACGACCCAACACAGCCAAAAATAAATAAATAAATAAATAAATTTACATTAAAAAAAAAAGAAATAAAGTTACTCTAAGTCAGGGGTCAGCAAACCTTTTCTTACAGGTCAGTCAGAATCTTAAGCTCTGTGAGCCATATGGTCTCTGCTGCGACTACTCAGTCTTAATGGAAAAGAATGAGGAAAAGCTTTACTTTCAAAGATTTGGAGAATGAATGACCCAGCCAAGAAAACGAAACTAAAGCAGTTACTTTATAGCAAAGTAAAAAAGTAAGTGAAAAAAGTAAGTGCTAAGAGAAAGGGGTTGGTTTGTATGGAGTTTAGAAAATAGAAACTCAACAAATTTTGGCAGTGTTTACTGAGCAATATTCAAAGGAAAGAAACTGGCTGTGGCTGGTGACCAGGGGTGAGCTCTAATGGGAGGCTCAGGCTGTTTCTGTAGAATTCCCTTTAGGCCCAAACACATACACCAACTTCCTGATTATTAACTGCATTTTTCCAGTCACCTTCAAACTATGGTGGGGGCACCTGGAAAGTGAAGCAACTTAATAACGAGAAGTAATACTCTCTGAGGAGGCACAGTTATCCCACCAAGATTTATGACCCAACAAAGTCCTGCTGACAGCCAGCTGGATTCTTTCTAACATCTGATCTCAACTCTACCTGCAAGACTATCTTGCTGCCAAGGCCTTACTAATTTCTAATTTTTCAAAATTCCACTTTGATGGCCCAACACAACTTACCTGTATGTATCTTGAGGTGGGTCCGCAGGTTGCTGGGATCACTAAAAGCCTTGCTACAGAAATCACACTTGTGGGGCTTCATACCCATGTGACCCATAAAGTGAACATGAAGTTTGGAAGGAGAGATAAAAGCTTGGGGGCACATGGAGCACTTCCACTTCCTTTCTTTGCTGTGGCTTGGCCCATGGCTGCTGCTGTGGCCCTGGCTAGGAAGATGGTTATGGATGTGGCTGGTCAGGTGGGCTTTGAACTCTGTATAGGAACTGCACTCCTTGCCACAGTTACAGAGGTGCACATCTGGGTGTTCAGGAACACCTTAAGAGAAAGATTATTCAATGTCTCCTGATACTTAAATTTAAAAACTTGTTGATATTAGTAACTATTGCTTATAATTCTCCCTTCTACCAAAATTTCCAGCTTGCCCACTACCTGTAAAATTAAAACATCTTGTTCAATGCTCTAGTCCCAGCATCTCAGATAGCGTGTCAGGCACATACATAGGGAACACTTGGTAAATACTGGATTATAAGGCACCTTTCCTAGGAAAAAAACTTAAGATTTTGTAGCATACAAACTCCTAAACATCACTTGTCATCATGACACAGTGCAAGAAAAAGCCTATGAAGGTTAAACCAACTCAAGAAGCTTTGCTGTCCTTTATGAAATTAAACTGTAATGGTTCAAAAGGAACATAGGAACTTCAAATTCCACAAATCAAAGTCCTAACACAAAAGTTCATACTGTCTGGTCAATAACAATTAGCTTATGAAGAATCTCACGGATTTTAACACTTTTAACATGGGGTAATATCCTGCTTTTATATACACAAAGGTATGGGATTTGTTTCAGCTTACATGTAAATCATTCCCAAAACTCTACTACTGGTCCTTGGTGCTTTTACTATGCTAGATTCATAGCAAACAAGTCTTACATAAACTTACCAATCTGCTGAGCATAATCCCGGCTGTAATAAAAAAGCAGTTCATTTTCAGGAGGGATATCTTGTGAGGTGCAGAAATAGATTTTTCCATCATGGGGATAAGCCACCAAATTCTGCTCTTCCCGATTCCTAAGTCATCACATTTAACAGATGAAGCATATTAAATTTATTTTATTAATTAAAAAAAATTTTTTTGGCTGTGCCACAAGGCTTGCAGGATCTCAGTTTCCTGATTAAGGATTAAACCCAGGCCACAGCAGTGAAAGCCCAGAATGCTAACCACTAGGTCACCAGGGAACTCCCATCAAGCATATTAATTTTGAAATATACACTAAACACACCATATCCCTACAGCAAAATCCTATGAAAACTTAGATGTACTATTTCTCTGGGTCATTTCTCTAATTCCCTATACTACCTATTAGGAGTAACTTGCATAGAAACAGAATTCTTACTTCAATATCGTCCTTTATAGTCAGAAATACTACAGTCTGTTACTGGAAGAAAAATAAATAAAGTCTTAAAACAATATAACGAAGACACAGAAATAGATAGCTGAACAAGAATTAACCACAACAGCAGCCTAAGGGGTTGACTAATAGCTAATATAAAGAAAAGGTACCCGGGCTTCCCTGGTGGCGCAGTGGTTAAGAGTCCGCCTGCTGATGCAGGGGACACAGGTTCGTGCCCCAGTCCGGGAAGATCCCACATGCCACGGAGCAAATGGGCCCATGAGCCATGGCCACTGAGCCTGCGCATCTGGAGCCTGTGCTCCGCAACGGGAGAGGCCACAATAGTGAGAGGCCCGCGTACCGCAAAAAAAAAAAAGAAAAGGTACCCACTTGCAAGGTCAATGGTAATTGTATCATTCCCTACTGCATTAGTAAGTTGAATAAACTGTTCATAAAACAAGGATAGTTTCTTATATTTTGATTTATAATAACCCTTAGTCAACAACTACTGGGGTGAAGAAGGTGAAAAGTCTTAGGCTTTAAGGTATGTTCAGATATCACTGTCATTTGGATTCTTCGATTCTTCCCTATTTTATTCAAAGCTTCCTACTGAAAAACATCTGAATCGTAACTATTTCTTTCATCCAAGTCTACTCTTACCTGGCTCTGCGCACAAACATCATCCAATTACATTCATTTTCGTCAGTTGTAATGATGCAGAATTCTAGGACACCACTGTGGTATATCTGTCAACAAAAGGCAAACATACACATCAGATGAACTGAAAAGTGATACACAATGCTACTAAGTTTAGTCTAGCAATAATCTCATTTACTTTGCAGTAGGTACCAACTTTCCTAGTCAGTGTGAAAATACATGGTTGTCTTCTCAAATGTTTGCCATTTCACCAGTCCCCCTATTTCCAGCAGTACAATAAAGACCACTAGAGACCTACAGTTAGTGCTCAGCGTATAGAATCATGTTGCTCTTGATTATTCACATTTTGGCTTGACTGGAAAAGACATAAGAAACAGTCTGCTTGTCTTCACCACCTACCACATGAATGGACATTAAGGTCAGAGAACCACCTCTTCTCATTGTTTCTCCAATGCACATAGCATTCCTCTATGTTTACTCCTGGATACCACAATTAAAGTCCCCAATGCCAGTGGCACTCTACCTTTCCAACTATCACAAGACCCATTTCCCCCTTACTTCAATTTTTGCAGGCATCATTCTCAACCTATTGACTAAAATTCTATATAAACATGTTATAGGAATAGCTGTTTATATCAAAAACTTAAGTTTCTAGCCCCTTCCGTTAGAAAACTAGAGAAATAATCTTAGCTTCCAATTCTAGAATTGTTTCCCAAGCTAAATATTGGAGGAATGTTTTAGTTGATTGCAAAATAAGACTTTCAACATATAAACAAAGTCCATGGCCTCAGCTACCACAAGTAATAAAAATGAATAATCGTTGAGTTATCTAACAAAATGGAGACTAAAACAGTTTATCTTCCATATTCAATACCTGATGCTTTGCTATGTATAATAAGTTGGCTACTAAGAACAGAGAGAATGTACTATTAAATGACTGATAAGTGAAAGGCACTGTATGAATCTTGGCTAAGTTTTTAACTACCTCATTACAGTAAAAGCAACCAAAAGTCATAGAAAAGTTTCATAAACACTGACCTTCCAGATATGATTAACTGCCTTGTCTGTCCATTCTGCTACTTCCATGGAGTGACTTTGCTGGCCAATAAGAGGCCCAAAGCAAGTCCGCACAGGAATGGTTTCTCCAGTCCATACACCTATCAGTGGAAGGACATGAACTACACAATCAATGATTTAAACATCTAATCAGATAGAGAAGAGAGTAGCTTAACTCATACAAAGAATCTTATTTTCAATGAACCTAAGTACTACTGATATTCTAGCACTCCTGAGAGGTAGATAAGTCTTATGGGTCCTATCCTGTAAATAAGGAAAAAGTAATAAACAGATTAGATAGGGGCTCAGAAGAAATAAGCAGAGTAAGAAACAGTATCAGAATTCCTGAACCATTTTTATACACAAGGAACCAAACCATGTCCCTCCAAATACGTTATTTTGGAGTTGATACATAAAAAAGACTAGAGAACATCATTCTATCATAAAAAAGTAAAGCAATTACTACAAAATAAATCAAACTTCTAAGATCACTTGTGCTTAAAGCACTGCTCTTTACTATCTAAGCTGTTTATTGCTTTCAATTGACCCATGCCTAAGTTACACCTGAAAGAATAACGAACCTAGTGTTGTATTTTCGAAGAATGGCACAGTGATTCAGATACCATGTGAAGTTCCAATATGGATAAGCATACTTTGGCAGTCTACATTTCTTATTACCTTTTCCTAAGGAGTATTAGGCAATTTACAAACATCTAATGTAAATATCTTTAGTGATAAAGAAGTCATCAATGGTGAATTTTCAATGTTTTATAAAAGAAACTAAGTTTCAAGGAGTGCTTTGTCATGATTATTGATAGTGGATGATACAGCTGAAAATAAAAGTCAAGTCTTCAAAGACTCAGGCTAGGATTCTCTCCTCTATTCAATTCTGATTCTAAGAAAGGGAAACTTTTCCAATAAAGTTTTCAACTTGATGTACTGCTGTCACCCCTGGACAAGACAAATATTCCATAAAAGGATAAATCTCAGCTATAAACTGACTTCTGGATCAACCAAATAATCACTAAATTACACACATCCACTTTTACAACTTCACCCTACAAAGGAAGAAGAACCTCTGATGGGGTTTTATGGTTCCAAGGGTCTTACCAACATCTGCTCCCACAATTGACTGGCGGAGAACAAGCTGCTTTGGGAGAGAAAGCCTCGCTCTGCTCTCTATTGGAGTGTCAGGAACAAAAGTCACCGGTCCGTGATCTGGGCAGTCTGAGGGATAGGCTCGGTCACAGAGAGTGCACCCTGCAGATGGGAAATTTGAGACATAAATGGGGTCAGTTCTAGCAGGCAAATGAATGACCACCTGCTTTTTTATTTAAATACAAATTATTAAAATGTAACCAGTACGAAGCAAGGTTCTAGTAGAAATTCTCTGATCAAAGAACCACTTTCTTACACTAAAATATATATCCACTGTTATATCTCTCTTCAGCAACATTTGATATTTTTCTTTTGATCCAACTGGACAAGTTTTCTATTCAATGCGTAAGAGAAAGACTGATCAAAAAATAAGCCTACATTACTTCAAGAATCAAGTATATATTACTTGAATAGATAAGTAATACCTTGAGATATGATGTTCTAAAGTCCAAAAGATTCCAATTCTACCAAACTATAAGAGGAAACTGAGTTGAAATGCTGTAGCGATGCAAAACCAAAACAGAGATGACAACAGAGCACAACAAAGTCAGAGCCAGTTGCACCACTGCCCTCTTTTGCTTCACTATTAACAAACTGGCTGACCACGCTTTGATGACAAGCTCTTAAGACAAAAAAAATATGCAACCTGCTCTTTGGGACAGCAGGTGAATCATATTCTTGCAAACATATTTGCTTAACATTCTTAATTCTTATTGTTCATGTGGTCTTTTTGCATTGTCAGAAAAAACGCTAAATTCATATTCTGTTTTCTGTGCTTACTGTAACTTCACTCTTACAAGCTCAGGAGTGTCCTCCTTCTCTATAAATCTTCTGTTCTATTCTTTTACTTTCCTTTCTCACTGCTACCTTAACAGTAGTATTAATGACCCTATTTAGTCAATGATTGTGTTCAAACTTTCCAAATTCATTCACAAAATAGCTGTAAATACATAAACCTTAGAATCGCAGCCTTCTAGGTGCCTTTTTCTCCTAAGAAATCCATTAGAAATTACTGCTTAAATGGCATAAAATATCAGTAAGTTTTCATATTTAGCCAAAGCAGTAATAATATATTACTTCTTCGAGTACTACTTGATTAAAAATTCTTTGAATATCAGACTAGAGATCCCCTACACTCTATGAGAACTTATTCTCCAATGCTCTTAACAAGAAACGATGTTAACTCTTCAAACAAAGGAGATTCAGAATTCATACTGCAAAAAATGCTTACAGGTTTCCTTCAAAGATATACAAGTACATACTGCAAAAAATGCTTACAAGTTTCCTTCAAAGATATACAAGTACATGTAAGTACATGTAAGATGTTCAACATCATTAGTCATTAAGGAAATGCAAATTAAAACCACAATGAGATGCCACTTCACACCCACTACAATGGGTATTAAAAAAAAAAAAGTCTTGGCAAACATGTAGAGAAAATGGAACCCTCATACACAGATGCTGGGAATGTAAAATGGTGCAGCCACTTTGGAAAATAGTCTGGCAATTCCTCAAAACGAGGAATTCCACTCCTAATATATATCCAAGAAAATTAAAAACATATGTTCATACAAAAACTTGTACGTGAATGTTCCTACCAGCATTGAACATAATGGCCAAAAAGGAGAAACAACAAAATATTCATAAAAGATAAATGGATAAACAAAATACGGTATATGCATACAATGGAATATTCTTCTTCCAAAAAGAGGAATAAAGTACTAATACATGCTATAACATGGATGAGCCATCACAACATTATGCTGGAAAGAAGCCAGACACAGCCACATAATGTATGATTCCATTTATATGACATGTCTAATAGGCGAATCCAGAGAAAGTAGATTATTGGTTGCCTGAGAATGGGGGGCAGGGGTGAGAGTGACTGCTAATGGGGTTTCTTTACGGGGCGATAAAAATTTTGGAATTACACAGTGGTGATGGTTGCACAACCTTGTCAGTATACTAAAAACCACTAAACTGTACACTTTAAAATGCATATGTGAATTATATTACACATGATCTAATAAATATGTCTTATGTTGAAAAAGCAAATGGCATGTCACACAGAATACCTTACTGAAATTTACTTCTATAATTAACTATTTGTGAAATCTTGGGAAATATCTTAAGCATTATTAGGCTAAGCTTACCTGTAAAATACAGAAATGACTGTTTCCTTACTTCAGGAAGATGCTATAAGAACCAACAAAATGTCTATATACTGTTTGGCTTACCTGAGGAAAAGGCACCACATTAATACAAAGGACAATACAAAGGCAAATAAAAGTTCCAAAGTCTAGTTACTTTCTATACTCCCTTAACACCTGCCTTTGTGACTAAACCTGTTAAGGATGATGGCCCTTTCTATCAGTATCTCCAAAAGAAAAAGGCTAAGCACACTCACAAATTGTAAACAAGGTTGCCATATTTTCCTTGTTTGAATTGGAGTCTTCCATTTGCAGTGAAGGTGGTACAAAAGAAAGACTGTCTGAAGACACATCTACATGACCTGTCCCCATAGCAACCTCCTGGGTGATGGAGGAGACAGCCACAGGTTCTAGGCTTAGGCCAACTTCATGGAGGGAAACAGATTCTAGGGAGGCGAGGTTGTGTGAGGTAGAGAGTGCCACGCTTACAGAGTTGGTGCTCATGGCCACGGTGTGGATGGAGTCACTGAGGGCACTGTCAGACATTCCGTTGACCCGACTTGCAATGTGGTCTGTCTCCATGACCACAGGGAGCTCCAGGCCATTCCCATGAATGGGTATCACACCACCATGTCCTACAGTTTCTGCTGCAAGGTTGTTGCTCACAGAATCCACAGACAGAGGTTCATGACTTCTGGAGCCATTTGGGATTTGGGTATGCTCGCCTGCAACACCATCCATGGTAAGCTCTTCTGCCATTCCATCTGTAGAGATTGGGCTGGTGACCCTAGAGACGTTCTCCATAGTGATTGTTGTGTCCAAGGCCACCTCATGGCCATCAGTGGGATGAAGACTTTGGGCACCATGTGTGTTCACAGAGCGAGAGTCTATTGAAACAATGCCTGGTTCTAATCCAACATTTCCATTGGACTGATAGGGATCTAGCGCCGAAGGGTTATTGGTGATAGATAATGCTGTATTACCATCAACATTTATAGAGTTAGGGTGGATATACTGAGGAGGTGGTCTGTCAGCTAAATAAGATAAAATGCCTGAGAAAAGGAAAAGATGAGATATCAGGAATTTTTCAGTATATTGTTAAATATAAAGAATTCCAAATTCCTTACAAATGTAACTAAACTAAAATAATCTACTACCTATTTCTTTGGTTTGATATCTATATACTTTATAAATAGCAACATACATATACAATTCAGTTTTTCCTGTGAAACTCAGAAATCATAAAAAATTAACTATGTTCCTTTTAAGTCACTAGAAATTAATCACTTATAAATGCTGCCTTTAATATATACATGGCTGGAGTTCCTGAGTCTTAAGATGCTGAAATCTGCTCTATAAGAGTTAAAAGGTAAAATCATTTAAAAGATTTTCCATGTGAAAAATAAAAATTAAATATAATTTTTAACTTATTAGACTATCAGAAAACATTAGGCTCTATTCAAAACAAGTCACAATTATACCTGCTTTATTAAAACAGAAAAAAATATTTGAACACTCGTGCTTATGAAGATGTGGTGAAATGGTACTTGCTGCATTGCCAGTAGAGCCTAAATTTCTAAATCCTCTTTGGAAAGTATCTACAATAATAACCTCAAAAATGTTCATACCCTCTTGCACAAGAAATTCCACTTATGGTAATCTCACCTAAATGCATTTTGTAAGTATTATACACAAAGACATTCATACATGGTTATTAAAAAAACTGGAAAAAACTGTCCAACAATAAAGATATAATAAACCATGGAATATCCACTCAGTAGAATATAATGCATCATTAAAAAGGATAATTATGAAAACCACACAGTAGTTGGGAAAAATAACTATGTAAAAATAGAGAAAAATATTAAGTAAAAAAAAGGGTACACAATTGTATAGAAAGTACTATATAGTGTTAATTATGAAAAACAGTAAAAACCTATACATACAAATAAAAGACAGGAAGGAAGTACACCAGAAAGATGGATGATGGGACTATGAATGATTCCCCTTCCTCCTTATTTGCTAAATTTTTTGAAATGAGTATATAATACTTCTAGAATAAAAATTCAGTAAACTTTAATTTATAATAAACAATGACACTTGTAAGCAGGACATGTGGTTGATAGGAATTACAACTGCAGAATTATAAAAACTGAACCAAGGAGATGCTAGAGGAGACAAGAAAAACTGTTTATGTGCCATTAAGAAATTAAGCTTAGGGCTTCCCTGGTGGCGCAGTGGTTGGGAGTCCGCCTGCCGACGCAGGGGACGCGGGTTTGTGCCCTGGTCTGGGAGGATCCCACATGCCGCGGAGCGGGTGGGCCCGTGAGCCATGGCCGCTGAGCCTGCGCATCCAGAGCCTGTGCTCCGCAGCGGGAGAGGCCACAACACTGAGAGGCCCGCGTACCGCAAAAAAAAAAAAAAAAAAAAAGAAATTAAGCTTAATCAAACTGCTATGTTAATATGTTACCTATATGTTCTAAGAGGAAAAGTACATAAATATGAACAATTTTTTCCCACAAAGATTAATGTCTAATAGTGACAAACAGAAAAAAGTGTTATTCAAGCCTTCAAGAACTGAAATTAAGAGCTGGCTGAATTTTTCCTCCTAAATTCCTGAATAACTATAACACTTACCAGGTAGAATGGTTCTGAAGTAACTGCTCTCAAGGTGGGGGTAAGGTGGTGGAGGTAGGGTGTAGTTTCTTTCAGGTAACCCACACATCACCCCTCGATCCCCAATACCCATTGGGAGCATGAGAGACAAAGCAGAAGGCAGAGAGCTCAGGGAGGGACCCAGGTTTGGAATCGCCACTGGCAGCCCTACAAAAAAAAATTTTTTTCTCCATTAAAAGTAAGTATCTTAGGGCTTCCCTAGTGGCGCAGTGGTTAAGAACCCGCCTGCCAGTGCAGGGGATATGGGTTCGATCCCTGGTCAGGGAAGATCCCACAAGCCGCGGGAGCAACTAAGCCCGTGCGCCACAACTACTGAACCAGCGCTCTAGAGCCCGCAAGGCACAACTACTGAAGCCTGCGTGCCTAGAGTCCGTGCTCCGCAACAAGAGAAGCCACTGCAATGAGAAGCCCGCACACCGCAATGGAGAGTAGCCCCCGCTCTCCGCAACTAGAGAAAGCCCGCTCGCAGCAACGAAGACCCAACACAGCCATAATTAATTTTTTTTTAAAAAGTAAGTACTTTAAAATTCTGTAATCACTTGCTCAACTCTTAGGAAGGTTTTTGCAATGGGCAAAAATCTCACCTAGCAGCCCTTTACATCCACAGATAGGTAGTGTTGTGCAGACATCCACAAACAAGTCCTACATTTAGTCAAGTTAGTTTTAAAATGCCAACTTGATCATCCAGTTGTCTATTGCTCTTAAGTATCAAAGCATTTAATTACAATTAAAAACCTAGTTTAAATACAATTTAAGAAAACAAATTATAAGAGATAAAAAGAATGGGAAGAAACATACCAAAGATCAAAGAAATATATCAAAGTTCAGAGTGGTCTCTGAGTAGTGATAGAATAGTTGTTTGTTTTTCTAAGAATTTTCTTTCTTTCTTTCTTTCTTTCTTTCTTTATTTGGGTCTTTGTTGCTGCGCACAGGCTTTCTCTAGTTGTGGCGAGCAGGGGCCACACTTCGTTGCGGTAGCTTCTCGTTGCGGAGCACGGGCTTCAGTAGTTGTAGAGTGCAGGCTCAGTAGTTGTGGCCTGCGGGCTCAGTAGTTGTGGCGCAGCACAGGCTTAGCTGCTCCACGGCATGTGGGATTTTCCCGAACCAGGGCTTGAACCCGTATCCCCTGCACTGGCAGGCGGATTCTTAACCACTGTGCCACCAGAGAAGTCCCCAGAGTTTTTTAATTTATTTTTGCACTTTACTATATTTTCCATTTTATATGGTGAGAACGTTTCACTTAAAAAAAGATATGCTTCTGGGCTTCTAGGGGCTTCCCTGGTGGCACAGTGGTTGAGAGTCCGCCTGCCGATGCAGGGGACACGGGTTCGTGCCCCGGTCCGGGAAGATCCCACATGCCGCGGAGCGGCTGGGCCCGTGAGCCATGGCCGCTGAGCCTGCGCGTCCGGAGCCTGTGCTCCACAATGGGAGAGGCCACAACAGTGAGAGGCCCCCATATCGCAAAAAATAAAAACAAAAACAAGAAGGCCTGGGCGCAGCAACAAAGACCCAATGCAGCCAAGAAAATTAATTAATTAATTTTTTAAAAAATGTTTCTACTTGGAAATTAATGTAAAGCTAAATGTAAAACTGTACATACATATTTTCATATAATCTTTTGTATATACGCTGTACTTCATGATTTTTAAAAATTTGTACTTTATATTTACCTTGGACTATATCTATCCGCAAGTGCTAAAGTGACCCTGTGCCTACGTATCATAATGAACAATCACCAACTTGGGCAGTGCTGATTCGCATTATTTTTGCCAGTGGCAGTATTTTTTAATAGGTTTTTCCTCCTCAATAAGAGTGTCCACTAAATGGAATGCCTAAGAGATAATCAAATGAGTTAAGAAGTAATACTTTTTTTAAAAATTTCTTTTGTGGACACTAAAAGAAATGTGAAGACACCCTAGTTTAGACAAACCTTATTTAGCGGCTGCATATTAGTAATTAAGCAGGTAATTCTCTATAGAGAACTAAACAACTTAATAGATTTAAAATACTCTTAAACATTAACTCTTACTTTGATAAAATCCAATACATTACAATGTCAAAGACCGAAGAATCACTGTCTTGCCACTGTAAGACTCAATGGCTTACTTGTTTCATTTCTATTTCAGTAGAAAGAAAAAATTGAACTAGCCAGATAAAAAGGTTTTAAAAGTACAGCGATGGGGGAAAATGAGCTTTTCCTATACTATTATTCTGTCCCAGTACTGAGGCTCAGGGGGAGTTCTACGTAGGAGCTTCATCTCTGAAACCTCCTCTTTGACCATAATTCTAGGCCTGGTGTGTTTGCAGCTGTTGCCAGTTTGATATCATAGAAAATAAAGCTGAATTTCCCATGTGTTCTAGGAATAGTTATTACAGTAACTTTGATTCTCTCCTAATAACCCAGGGACAGAATGCCAAGGGGGAAAACAGATGAATGGGTAACCCTAGATAAAATGCCAAATCAACTACAGCTCTACAGACAAAAGGCCACTAACCCAAGAAGAGAACAACCAGAAAAAAACCACTACTCCTATTCTATCCACTAGGACTTCAGTACTCTAGGAAAATTGCTGCCACATGTGGAACCACCATTTAGACCTGCTGGGCTTCTCCCTTCCACTCTTAAAGGGGCTTTCACCCCCCCTGTAGGCTCCATTTAGAACTGATAATGCAATTAAGTGCTGAAATTCAGTCACTCTCCCTTACCACTCACCTGGGGCTGGGATGGCATTGTGAGTGGGTGAGGCAGTCAACCCCAGGTGACTCCCTGAGACTGGCAAGGCATTGCTCACAGAGGATGAAGTCAGCTGCTCCATCCCCACTGGGCTCAGGTTCATTTCATTCATCCTAAGAAAGAGCAGACACAACCAGTTATGCAAAAAATTACCTCAGTGACTCTGTTTAACGTACTGAAGAACCTGAAACAATGGAGGTGGGGAAATGGGACTTAACCAACTATGACTTCATTTCTATGCTCACAGCTCCCTGATAACTAGTGTCATTGGGATTCAGAGATGTTAACTCAGCCATCATATAGCAGAAACAGGATTTAACTCAGGTGTGCCTCGCTCCAAACCCTAAGCACACTATCTAACGCAAAGTTTGCAATCCTTAGAGCACACTGGCAACAAGGGTTTGTTTTTTAAATTCACCTAAGTTTTTTCCTTCACAGTATTTAGTTTCTCCAACCGGCTTATTACTTTAAACCAGGAGTTTTATAGACAGTCTGTTTTAACTTACTCAAAGAATTTTTACTAATTCCTTTTACCAGGAGTTAAAGTGATACTGGGTGTGAATTAGATTACCAGTCGTATAAAGAAGCACCATATCTTCTCCATGGATCAGCATTTTATTAAAATTCTGTATAGATACCTTAATAATTAATCAATAATTTTAGTAATATCCTCCACATATCAAGGTTCATTAGGCAAGCTTTGCTAGCTACTTTATAAAAAATTACTTCATATTTGCTCACCAATTCTACAAAATAAGGTAACCAAGGAAACAGTGGCTCAAAGAGGGCTTGTCATATGCCCCAAATCACACAGCAATGAAATAACACAGATCATGCTGCAAAATACTGTCAGAAAGTTTTTCAATACACCAAACTTTTTTTATCTAGAGACCATTTTTGGCTGAAGAATCTGAGAACTGCTTTTTCCATAAAATCCATCTTGTAGTGCCATTGACAAAGTCATTAGAATAAGAGTATACTAATTTGAATAAGATACTACTAGAGATTGTTATCAGTAAGTATTAGTTCCTATGTCAGAATTTAGAGACTGCCATATTATAAACAACTTCAAGGGGCCAGCCAACAGGCTATCCAAAGGAGGTCACCAGTGACCTCCAATGCTTATACTGAGTTATCAGTGATTCAAGTTCATGCGCGTGCACCTATGTACATGGGAGGGGTGAAGAACAGGAAGGGGAACCAAATCGGTCTACACACTCCTTAGCAGTGAAGGCAAAACTTAATAGGTTTTTAATCTGAAAAATGGCAATATCAGCTGCCAATCAACATGAAAATAATAACAACTAATACTTATTACTCCCTTACTTTAGGTGTTAGGCACTGGGCTAAGTGATAACATGTAATTACCTCACCTAATCCTTATAACTACTGTGAGGTAGGTATTATTCTTAATCCCATTTTAGAGAGGAGAAAATTGAGACTCAGGCTAAGAAACTTAACCCCAAATTACATTAACTACTAAGTGGTAGAGTCGGGATTTAAATCCAGGTCTGCCTAATTTAAGAAAACTAGTAAGTCGCAGAATTGGCATTTAAGTCCAGGTCTGCCTAATTTAAGAAATCTAAACTCTTAACTATGACTAGAAAAAGACAATTACAATAAAAGAAACTCTTTGCCTTTTACAGTCCCAACACTTACGATCTGTGTATTTATATTGTGGAGTATGTTTAAAGTCCCACATAGACCTATTCCTGAATTACTCTCTATCCATAAGCTTCAACCTTACTCCGGGCTAGGTATCTCATACAACTAGGCTCCCAGACGTTAATGAAGTGTACAAAGCTGAGGGCGACACCCTATATAGAGTAGGCATTCTGAAATATGTATTTGATTTGGATGAAGCAATGCAAACTCATCTTTACTAGAAAGACAACTAGCATCACATGGCAAATGAGATACACCTTATGAAAGACAGCACATTAATAACAGTATTTAATTATGCTATAAAAGAATGCAAAAATCCTTATAGCCTAAAGAAGCGATAGCTAACAATTTTGAAGGTTTCTGGGTTTGGGGTGGTTTAAAACAGACTTTTCCTGTGACTTTATAGCTACAAACATTAACTAAAACTTTAGAACCACTGGAGCAGTAATGACCTACAAAAAAATGGTTACGATAATTTTTTTAAGTACAATTAAAAGTCTGTAGCTTCAAATTCCATGCTGAAAATTTCTGAGTATTAATCTGTGCACCTCATCTCAAGATGAAAATCAAAACGGTGCTTCTAGGTTGACTCTTAGGCCTTCTCAAACCAGTTCAAACCGGAGTTTAATGTGAGAGGCTCAGCAGATTTCTGCTTTGCTGTGAGTCACTAAAATGTGATGATCTCAGCAGCCATAAACCAAAGGTAACTAGTATCCCACAGAGAGAAAGCAGATGAAGGGAATTTACAGTATGAGCCTCAAAAGACTCCCTCATTCCAAAGTGCAAGTCTATTCTAGCTCCTTTTCCCATATGGGATGCTAGGAAGCAATCTTGGGAGAAGGGCCAGAATCAAGATACTAAGCTCGCTCTTCTTCCCTATGCATTCATTGTAGAATCATATCCTTCATCTTCTCTAGTTTATGTGACCTATGTATGAACCATTTGTTGATCTTACGACTTTTTCGTAGAATGACATAAGAAGCTAACTGAAATGCAGCCACTTTGCAAATGCAATGGACAGTTTCAGTAATTTGGATGAACTTTTTTTAATCTTCCTTATCCTCAACATACAGCCTATGAAAGGACTCATAAAGAATGGCCAAATGTAACTATTTCTCTGACACACTTCTGTACTGTAGTGGCATGGTACCACAAAGTACTTTCAACATTAACACGGAGCCTGCACAATTAATAACTTAATTTCTCTACATTACCAGCCAAGCCAGACGGTAACCAGCAAAATTCAAGGTGAAACATGGTTTTGAGCTAAAAACACACTTCGAAATCCAGATGAAAATATTATTAAACGCGCAAATAACTCAAAGGCAAGGATAAAGATGTCCAACGAGCCAACAATCGACGTAATGGCTATTCGGAACAACTACTCACATTTGGAGTAAATCAAATTTAATGAGAGTATATTCAACCCAATACTGGTTTCTGGATGTTTTGTTCCCTTTGGGACAAACCCACTTGCCAATCGCACCTGTAACCTGCCCAATGGCACCAAAAACAAAAGCACTCTTAAGTCTCATTTGCCAAATGTTTTCCAAAGATGTCACCAACGCTGAGCTCACCAAGCTACTCACCTGTGATGCATCTGCTGGGGGCCAAGTGTCAGAGGAACGCGCACACGGGTGGTGGAGAACCGGCATCAGGGTTTGCGTTCCAGGGTCACGTGCTACCGCATCTTGCTTACAACCGCTGCACAAACGCGGCCATTCTTCCCCGGGGCCGCCCGGGGCAGCCCAACTTCTCCCGAGGGCCGGCGGCCGCGCACCCCGCCGCGAGATAAGGCATGCCGGGGGACACCCGGGGCCTTTCCTCCAGAAGCTTCGGGAGGGGGGCTACCTAACCTGAGGGGGAGGACAAGGGCGGTCACCAAAACACGGGAAGGATGCAGCCCCCGTCCCCTCGCCTCCAGAGAGCCCGGGCCTGCTGACACTGCCTCCCAAGGGCGGCCAAGTCGCCCGCTCGCCGGCATGGGGCCCGCAGGCCGCCCTCGCCCCGCCCCGGCCGGGCCCGCGCGCAGCCCACCTGCCGGCCGCGCGGGGGTCGCGCACGCCTGCCCCACTGCTTTGTTCCTCATCCGGGCAAAGCTCGCCTCGGGGCCCTCCCCGCCAGCACGACCCCCCGCCCCGGGGCCCGCTCGCCTAACGTTTCCCGCCCGGCCCGGCCCAACCCGTAGTGTCCTCAGGGCCGCACCCTCCAAGGCGCGTTTCCGGCTCCTCAGCCACTCTCGGCGCCCGCTGCCCCGCCCCTTGTGCGTGTGCCCCTCCCCGCCACGGCCCGCAACCGGCGCCAGCGCACCGACTCCCCCTCCCCCCAAACCACCCCGTTCCGCGCTTGCGCGCCGCGGGGACTCGGGCCGGAGGGGGCGGGCCGTGAGAGGCTCGGCCCGGAACGTCTCGTCTCAGTCCGGCCGGGTCGAGTCGAGCGCCGAGCGATCGATCCCGTTGCTAAGTAACCAGGGCTGACGTGCGCGCAGGGAGTGAGTTCTGAGTCTTATAAATCCACCAAACTTAGGATTTCAGTCTTCCTGGCATTCTCCTAGTAGCAAAGCGTGGGTCCACGCAAGCCCACAAAATTTGAAATAAGGGACTTAACCTAGAGGTGTTGGTGGTGTTGCCCAGGAGGAGTTGAATATCCCGAATATTTGTCGTCATACGTTACATCTGAATGTTGCTCAGTTTCCTTGCTTGAAGTCATAAAGAGTGGTGTTTGGGATTTTGTACAAATTTCCTTCCCCTTCTCTCTTTGCCGTTCGTTCCCTACTGCATGTCAGGCACTGTGCTAAGCCCTAGGGATACTGAGATGGCTTTAAAGGAAAGTGGTCCAAGTTCGTGAGGATTGGACAATGAAACTACAGCACACACTACCTGTTAGCTTCCATTCACCAGCAGAACAGCAGAGACCCAGGAATTCCTCCTTTCATTCAGAAGACATTTACTGAATTACATCTCAAACACAGGATACAAAATAACACGCAGGTCTTGACTTTCAACAGCTTGCAGTGTAGTAGGGACTGGTGAGTTTTGAAAATTCAGTCTCATGTGAAAGACAGAGGCACATACAATGTTTTGGACGAGAGCCTGGAGTGGTGTCAACTCATGTAATGTCTCCCTTCCTTTACTTCTCAGAAGGAGAAAGAACATTCCAAGTTGAGGGAACTATTCACTGAACACTGGCAGGTCACGTTGGTTTTGCTCTCGTTGACAACAGATATCAATAGAAACCTAAATCAAGAAAGTCATCATATCACAACTAAGTGAGAGACAATATTCCCTAAAATGTCACATCAAACCTGGGGCCTAGGGAGAGATGATGTCTTACAAAGGCTAAATAATTTCATTCTGGTTTTCCATGCCTATTCTTTTTGAACAATTTTATTAATTTCAGAAGTGTATGTAAAAGTCAGGTCAGATAAATGTAAGAGCTAAAACTATAATACTACAGAAGAAAATATAGGAGAAAATCTTTGTAATCTTGATAGGATACAAAAATCAGGAACCACTAACAATTTGACAAATTGAACTTCATCAAAATTAAAACTTTCGGTCTTGAAAAGACACTGTTGACAAAATGAAATGTCAAGCCAGAGATGGGGAGAAAATATTTGCAAAACAAATATCTGACAAAGGACTTTTATTGGAATGTATATAAACCCCTTTAAACTAAATAATAAGGCAAACAACCCAACTTTTTTAAATGGGCAAAATGTTTGAACAGCCACTTCACCAAAGAAGATATATGCATGGCAACTAAGCACACAAAAAGATGAGCAATTATTATTGATTAGGGAAATGCAAATCACAACACAATGAGATAACATTATACACATCCTAGAGTGGCCAAATTTTAAAAGGCCAACTACAACAAGTGTTGGTGCAGATACAAAACAACTGGAACCCTCACACTTTGCTGGTGGGAATGCAAAGTGCTGAAGCCATTTGAGAAAACAACTTAGCAATTTTTATACCATATGATTCAGTAATTAACACTTCTAGGTGTTTACCCAAGAGAAAATACAAACATATGTACAAAGACATGTACACAAATGTGCATAGAAGCTTTATTTATAATAACCTCAAACTGGAAATAACCCAAATGTCCATCCACTGGTGAATGAATAAACAAATTAGAGTATATCTACGCAGCGGAATACTATTCAGCAATAAGAAGGAAAAAGCTATTCATAGGTGAATCTCAACAGCATTAAGCTAAGTAAAAGAAACCATACACAAAAGACTACACAATATGTGTATCCATTTATATGAAATTCTAAAAAAGGAAAAACTGTAGTAATAAAAAGCAGGTAAGTGTTGGGAGTTGAGGATGAATGGGAGGAATGAGACTGCCTGCAAAGGGGCATGAGGGGACTTCTAAGGGTGATGTAATTATGTTGATTGTGGGAGTGGGTGTATGACTGCATACATTTGTCAAAATTCATCAAATAGTACATTTGAGATTGATGAGTTTTATTGTATGTAAAAATACCTCGAGTAAACAGTTCTCAGAGCTTTCTGAGATAGATGCTCTTCCTGGGTTATAATCCTCAAATTTGGCTTGAATAAAATTTTCCATTTCTTTCTTTTAAGAAAAAAACACTCAAAAAGTTGCTTTAAAAAGAAAATGATATCAGGGTCATCAAAAATTGAAGCATCCTAACCCCATTCCCCAGACCAGATTAGGTCCACTGTATGTTCTCTCACCGTCCTTATCTTCATTGTAATTAATTGTTTAATTTTCTGTCTTGCCAAGTAGATTTTAAGTTTTGGGGACAAGACCCATGTCCATCTTACTTAATGCTATATGACATAGCACAATTTTCAGCATTTATTAGGTTCTCAATAAATATTTGTTAAATGAATGAAAGTCAAACCGGCATAAATCAAAGCTATGCTTATTGACTCAAATATCTACTTACTTGGAGACCTACAGTAAAATGGATGCCCACAGTTGTCTAAGGAGCTGATTTAGGGTGACTTACCACTTAGGAGACACCAAGGTGCCACTGAGACAATAAAAACAATAGAATTACTGACCAATTAGACAAGTAGAAATGAAGAGCATAGCTGCTCTTTCAGAACCCAAGTATCAGAAAGACTGTGGAGCAAAGATGTAGCGTTGCAATCAAAGGTAAACCTTAGAGATAATTGTGTATAAGACAAACCAGATAGCAAGCATTAATATTTTGCTGGATGGCAAAGACAGAAACAGCAAATTACCTTTTTTTTAAAAAATTATTTATTTTTTTATTTTTGTCTGCATTGGGTCTTCGTTGCTGTGCGTGGGCTTTTCTCTGGTTGAGGCGAGCAGGGGCTACTGTTCGTTGTGGTGCATGGGCTTCTCATTGCGGTGGCTTCTCTTGTTGCGGAGCGTGGGCTCTAGGCGCACGGGCTTCAGTAGTTGTGCCATACTGGCTTTGTTGCTCCACGGCATATGGGATCTTACCAGACCAGGGCTCGAACCCGTGTCCCCTGCATTGGCAGGCGAATTCTTAACCACTGCACCACCAGGGAAACCGCACAAATTACCTTTAAACGTTATCTTCTAGCCCTAAAGACAAGGACAGTAATTGGGTAAGTTTGGGCCTGGACTGGGCTTCTTAGGATATTTTTCTTTCAATTGACTCTAATTAAGGTTTCAAATCCTACTTCTGATCGCTCATGTAAGGGAGGGTCTGGAAATACGACTTCTTACGTGGGTAAACCTGTTCTTTGGAATTCTTGGGATTCTCATGCATAAGCCTGATTTATTGGAAACCAGACTTATGATGTACAATCTGATATAATAAATTATAATTATCAAATATAACTCTAACTATTTCTTTAGTATTTGCAGAAAGGCATGGAAAGGCTAGAGTTGGTTCAACAAATATGTGTTGAGTGCCTACTATTGCTCTAGGCACTGGGGAGATAACAGTGAACTAAACAGGCAAAAGATACCCAGTCTTTATGGAGCTTACATTATAGTGGAGAAAAATAATAAATAATTAAAATATAAAATATACGAGATAGCAATAAATACCATTAAAAGTATGGCAAGGAATATAGATAGTGCTCAGGGATAGGAGCTGCAATTTTAAACAGGGTAGACAGGGAAGTCATCATCGAAAATGTGACATTTGAAACAAATGAGATGAGGGAGTGACCCATCTGCACATCTGGAAGTGTGTTTCACTCAGAGGGAATGGCAAATGCAAAGGCCCCGAGGCAGGAGAATCCCTGACAGGTTTGAGGAATTGCAAGGAGGCCAGTGACACTAGCACTGGACGGTCTAACATGGGAGCCACTAGTCACATGTGGTTATTGAGCCCCTGAAATGTCCCTAGTTCAAATTGTGTAATTATTTTAGAGTGATTATGTTACTGGCCCCAGTTCTTCACTCCTCTTGTAACCATGCCCTTTACAAGGGGACTTCATAGCTCATCCTAGGAAAAGAAAAAAGTTTTTTCTGCCCCTTGATTCTAAGTTTGCCATGTTAGACATATACTAGAATTCAGCCTAAATCATTGCCCCTCAGGCTCAAGAACTAAATAAATGCTTATTTTCTTAAGCTACTGAGTCTTGAGGTGGTTTATTTGATGGCAATTTTGAGGCTGCCTTCCTTTTCTTGGATGCCACTGATTTTCTGCTTTGACCTTTGGAAACTGTTACATGGGTATAAAATTAACCACTGGTATTTGGAACATTATTTCTCTTGGGTTAAGTTCCAAGTATTTGGTTTAACTTCTCTAAGGGCTGCAGAATGGCTTGTTTTCTAAATGGAGTGTGTATGGGACTAGAACTGGGATAATCTTGTGTGTTCTATGGACTTCAAAAGCAGAAAACATGTGGTGATAAACTAATTCAATTCCTCAGATTTGAAGAGACTACACGAATTTCAGTAGACGATCACCCAGGCTAAAACTGCTGAAGAAACCCTGACTTTGCTCAGACTGGGCAGTGTGACCCCTCTATTTGAGACTGAGCAGAATCGGAAACTGGGGGGAATGATCTGTGGAGTTTAACCAAAGAAATTTCGATGTTGATACCTTTGAATTTAAACCTATAGGGTAAGGTTATTTAAACTTTGGGTTTTAATTTATCCTTAGCAATTTGATAATGGGTGCTTTTTAAAATCTGAAGTATTGGGGACTTCTCTGGTGGTCCAGTGGTTGAGAATCTGCCTTCCAATGCAGGGGATGTGGGTTCGACCCCTGGTCGGGGAACTAAGATCCCACATGCCACAGGGCAACTAAGCTCACATGCCCTGGAGCCTGTGTGTGCGCACCAGAACTAGACAGAAGCCCGCGCTGCAAAGAAGAGCCCTCACGCCGCAACGAAAGATCCCGCGTGCCACAACAAAGATCCCATGTGCCTCAACTAAGAACGGATGCAGCCAAATAAATAAACAAATGATTTTTAAAAGTCTGAAGTATTATTCTACTGATAATTTATTTGATTGCATAATCTCTGGCCAGCTCTATTGAAATGGTTTTCATTAGAGAAAGGAAAAGAATGCGCTTTTGGCCAAGGGACCACCAGGCTTTGAGGTTAATTTAACAAATGTATTGTTCTGATCTACTTTAGAGATTTTAATGGGGCAAAAGCTAAACTGCTGCAACATTAGATGCTTTCCCATAAAAAAGTACAAGGATGCTAGCATTGGACTAGAGATCTTAGGCAATGAAATTCAATAAGAAAAAATAAATGAGTTATACTAGAAAAGAAGAAACAAAATTATCATTACTTGTAGACGATCTGATTACAGTTTAAGAAATTGTAGAAAACTATCTTTAAAAAATAACTATTGGGGGACTTCCCTGGAGGTCCAGTGGATAAGACTCTGTGCTTCCAGGGCAGGGGGCACAGGTTCGACCCCTGGTTGGGGAACTGGGATTCCACATGCTTTGCAGCACGGCCAAAAAAACAAAAAACAAACAAAAACTATTGGCAATTCCCTGGCGGTCCAGTGGTTAGGGCTCCAAGCTCTCACTGCTGAGGACCCAGGTTTGAACCCTGGTCCGAGAACTAGAATTCCACAAGCTGTGTGGTGTGGCCCCCGAAAAACCTATTAGAACTATCTTGAGTGGGGTGTTGTTTCACAAGTGTATACATATATCAAAACTCATTGAATGATGTATTTAATATATGAGAGTTTAACTATATGTAGATTTTCACTCATTTAAAAATCATTAGAACTAGTAAGAGAGATCATGAGATGACTGGATTAAAAATTAACATGAAATAAGTCAATAGCTTTGAAAAAATTCTATTCACAGCAGCAATCACACCTGTAAAACATCCTGAGATAACCATAACAAGAAGCATGCAAGATCTACATGAAGAAACATATGAAACTTTATTAAAGGGCAAAAAGAAGGCCTGAATAAATGAGTTCTACTGTGTTCGTATAGGAGAGATTCAATGTTAAAAAAAAAGTAAATTCTCTCCAAATTAATCTGTATATTTAACACAATCCCAATTAGAATCCCAAAGTTTTCCTCTCTCACGGATATTAAAAGTGCATGTTGGGTTTTCCTGGTGGCACAGTGGTTAAGAATCCTCCTGCCAATGCAGGAGACACGGGTTTGAGCCCTGGTCCGGGAAGATTCCACATGCCGCGGAGCAACTAAGCCCATGAGCCACAACTACTGAGCCTATGCTCTAGAGCCCACGAGCCACAACTACTGAAGCCCACGTGCCTAGAGCCCGTGCTCTGTAACAAGAGAAGCCACCACACTGAGAAGCCAATGCACTGCAACAAAGAGTAGCCCCCGCTCGCCGCAACTAGAGAAAAGCCCGCGCCCAGCACCGAAGACCCAGTGCAGCCCAAAATGAATGAATAAATAAATAACTTTTTTTAAACGTGCATGTTACTTTCCTCTTCTTTTCCAAATTTGGGCATCCTTGCTCAATAGTTCTTTCAGATAAATTGCAAAGTCAGCCATCCATTCTCCAAGCCTTGAATGTGGTACATTTTTCTGATTCACACCAAGATGCCACATAGACAAGGAAAGGCCTTGTAAATGTGTGGTAGGAGAAGGTAGCCTTAAGCAAGAGAGAAAAGACAAAAACCACAAGGGAAGGATTAATGGATCTGACTACATCAAAGTTTTAGATTTCTATCCAATAAAAGACTGCATAGGCAAGGTTAAAATGCAAATAGTGTTTGAGAAGTTCAGAATAAAAACAGTAATAAATTGTACCTAAATATTTGTGGTTCTTTAAATCTTGCTGTAAATTATATTATCTTTAAAATAGAATGTAATGGTGTGGGTAAAGGATTAATAAAACTTTTCCTCTTCTTGCACAACAATTTGACCTTCAGTTGACTTGCTGTTATCTGTTTCTCTGAAACCTAATAAAGATCGAATGTCAGCTATGTTGTTAGGCAGCCTGACTTATATTAAAGCAATTACCTGATTGTTAGATTGCATCTGGGTTGCCACAACTATAGCTGGTGGGGGAGCATAGCTTTGGGCTTTTCTGAGTGTGAAGACTCTAATTGGGCCCGTGGTGAGGTCCCTGGAAGCTATGCCTATGGGGTCATACTGGCTCCCGAGGGGTACCAGACATCCAAGTCAGGGCAGCTGCCACACTGGTCTGATGTGAGTGGTCTTGCCTTGCACCTGAGCTGTCACTTGGCCGCAGGTGGGTTAAGGGGGAGCAGCTATGTAGATATCTGCATAGATTACTGCAAGGACTCCCTGGGAGGTATAACACCTAATTCTGCCCTGCTCAGAGCTATTGTTCCTGACCTAAATCCTTCCAAATGAATCTGATGCTAAATGTGGCCCATGGTAGTCTTAATGAATCTTGAAGTTTAGTTGTGCCTGAGAAGACTCCTGGTGAATGCTGCAAATGGTAATACAAACAGTTTATACTTGGGCTATATAGAAAAGAACTAATTGGATAGAATTGTGTTAGAGCATCAATTTGAGATTTATGTAACTACACCTGTGATAAATCTTACTTGGATCACGAGGTAATACATATGTTTCCCTGTTCCCCCATCAGTGGCAGCTGATGCAAATTGCAGGTATGGGGCCAGGGGGTATGCAGCCCTCTGTGCCATGGGTTTAGGATACCAAAATCTACAATGTGATATCAAATACTTCACAAGAAGGGCCAATCTAAGTCTCTTTATCTCACATATTTCAAACAAGTGATGAGAGACCTGTCTGAGTTTTAGGGGTGGAAGTTTTCCTTGGCCTTAGAGATACCTTTAAATCTCCTGAGCCTGGGTGAATCCCATCTCCCCTTTTACAAGCAGATCTAAGTAGGACTACATAACCCTAGTCCCAAACGCTCTTGGCGGTTTTGCCTATCTGTAACTTGATCTAGCCAGTCTTAAGAAAGACATCTTTAAAGTTGGCGAGAACATTTGTCTGGATGAAAACTGACTGGGGAGTGATGGGGAGTCAGAATCTCCTCTTTTGATCTCTTATATAAGAAAGAAGGCAGCCCCTCCCCCATACCCCCCTCCACATACACACTCACGCACATTGTGCGAGTAAAATGATGCTTCTCTCACTGGGATCTCACTGGGAAAACCACTTATTTCCAATGCACGTGCACCTTCAAAAAGTGTAAGAAAGAGTGTCAGCATTCTTTGTGACCATATAGATCATGTAGTAATCCTAACACTACTTGGACCCTCTAAAAAGACCACTATAGGATCAGGGTCCGGCCATTGTTGATTGTGGTATTAGTAGTGGGAAAAAAAAAATCCTGTAGATATTTATTCCTCAGAGACAGAATTTATAAGAAGCCAGAAAACTTGGCTCAAGAACTTTAAATTTTAATGATAAATCTGTTCGTTTAGGTCAGACCAGGGTATCATTTGAGTTTTCTGTATATTTTACCTTAGTATTTTAAAGTTCACTAGATCAGAGAAAATCAAAAGTAATATTTGTTCTTTGTAATACTTTAAATAGTAGAAATATCCATAAAGAAAAGTGAACCACTCCCCCATCCCCAATGCCACCTTTTTTTTTTTTTTTTTTGCGGTTCGCGGGCCTCTCACTGTTGTGGCATCTCCCGTTGCGGAGCACAGGCTCCGGACGCGCAGGCTCAGCCGCCATGGCTCACGGGCCTAGCCGCTCCGCGGCATGTGGGATCTTCCCGGACCGGGGCACGAACCCGTGTCCCCTGCATCGGCAGGCGGACTCTCAACCACTGCACCACCAGGGTAGCCCCCCAATGCCACCTTTTTTAGGCAACCAATGACAAAAGTTTAGAGTGTGTCTTTCTACTTTTTTCTCTGTGCTCATGTAAAGACATCGTGCAGAATAGTTTGTTTTAAGTTCATGCTGCATACGTTACCCTACCATTTGCTTTTTTTCACTTATCGTGTTATGGACATCTCTGCAAGTTCTTACATATAGATCTAACTCCTTATTTTTAATAAGACAGTATGTTAAAAGGATTAGCCCTTTCCCTATTGATGGACATTCACTCTATTTCCATTTATTCTCTTGTTTTAATCACTACAAACAATACTGTAATAAATATTATTGTACATATAAATCCATACTGGTGCATTTATTTTTGCAGGATAAAATTGTAGAGAACTCTGAGTCAAAGGATATGTGATGTGCACTATTAATATTATTTTCCCAAAAGCTTGCAGCAATTTATGCTTCTGCCCTTTCCCCCAATCCTTATTAGCAATCTTTTAAATTTTTGCCAATCTGAGGATGAAAAATGGTATCTTAACTATTCTCTTTTTTGTTCCCCTCCAATCTATTCTGCATTCTGCAGTGATCTTTTAGAAAAACAAATCTTACCACGTCACCTGTCTGCTCAAAACACCTCATTTATTTCCCATCACTCTTAGAGTAATGGCCAACATCTTTGACATGGCCCAAAAGCTCCTTGTGGTCTAATTGTCTGCCTCTCTGGTGGGCTTTTCGCCCAGTAGGGCTTCCTCCTGATAGGTCTCAACTCTACTGAGAAATCAAGATGACATATGTTTGTTTACTGGTACAAGCCTCAGAGGGAGCTACACCTTTTAAAATGTGACTAACTTATGCCTGAAAGGAATAATTGTTTCTATTTTACTTGCCTTGATGGAAGTGTTTTTCCAATTGCTTCAGGCAGATCATCAGAGTAAACAGGGAAGCGTAGGACTTGTCAAAAAAACATGTTAGGGCGACACCTTGACTCCCCAGGAATAGGCAGAAAGTCTGATTGAAAACGTAGGGGGTTTTTGCTTCTCTTGTTTTTAAGTCAGACTTTTAAAGTAGAAGCTGCCTTTAATGTGCTGGTTTGCAGAACAGGAAATCTGATTTTCAGTGTGATAACACATTCTTTGACATTAACCAGTACAGTTGGATTTTTAATGACACTTTCATCTTCAAAGCCCTTCACTAACACGGTGGATTAATTATTCATTTTTTGGTTGTGTGTTAAAAAGACAAATCTTCAAAGCCATCATCCTTTCTCCTCGGAACTGGGGCTCTCCACCTTTCAAATGTTGCTTTCTTACCCCCAAGGGAGAAAATAAATTACATCTTTTTTTTTTTTAAGACAAAAAGAATACAATAGAAATATACTCTTTACACTATGGAAAGCTGATGTCCTTATATCCTGGGTGGGATCAGAAGAGGTCGGGAAGCAGTGCTTAAGCTGTGTTTACAGTAAGCACTGTGAGAAATAACTCTGGCTAAAAGTGTTTGTTACTGCTCAGTCTTTTGATGTGCTCTTAAAAAGTAGCACAAATACATCACGGCCCCCGTGTTCAACATAATAATATGCAGACCCTTATATTTGTTGCTAAAGTATGTTTCTTTTCTGTTCTCTTCAAAAAATGTCTACTTGGGTTTTTAAAAGTTTTGGTTTTGGAGAAGAAAACCCTCAAGACTTCCCTGGGGTCCTCCTTAACTTGACACATTTTATAACCACAAGGGAGCATTCTTCCCTTTGATGAGGTCTTCTCTCCACCTCTCCAGAAATGAAAGAGCAAGTGTAAGTTTGCAAACAGCCTAAAAGCTCTTTCCATTAGCCCTGGACGCCGGAAACCACAAAGGGCAGTCAAGTCTTGATTTTCAAGGAGAAAGCCTCTGGTAAACTTTCGCTCAGCCGCCAGGAGATCTGTTGGTTCCTGGGAGGAGCTCTTCTGAAACCTTGACGATTCCTATGTTCATGAAGACACAGAGCGGTGGATTACAGTAATTGAAAAGCTTTGGTGGCTTTGGAAGATTACTATATGTTTGGTGTGCGCTCACATTTCCAGGCTAGGGGACCGCGTAGAGGAACCCCTTTTGTAATCTTTTGAAATAAGATCAGAAGGGAAGACAGGGTTTGAAGTGTGGATTGGGGGGGGTCGCCTAAATCTTTGCCTATCACCTCCGCCTGGATCATTATAAAAAGATCGAGGAGTACAATGAACTTAGGGAATCATGCAACGTTTCCGTGAAGCCTGTTCTGGAACCTAGCTTCCGGATCCAGAACCTTTTCCAGAAGCAGACCAGCGGCGGTGCTAGGCAGTCTGAATGGACCAGCATCTCCGCTTTGAAGATTTATTTTCAGTCTTCTGCTGAGAGATTCACCTCTGGAGTGATTGGTTCGCTTTTCGGCGGATGATGGAGAAACGTAAACAGGCCGGACTGCTGACCCTGCCGTACCACCTGCTCCCGGGGCCCATGGGCGTGCCTGGGTCCCTGCCCCGCCTTCCCCTGCGGGACCCCTTCAGGGTCTCCTTGCGTCTGGACGCCGCGTGCTGGGAGCGGGGCGGCTGCGCCCCGCGGCGGCCGTACTTGCCCCTGCCGCTGGACGGCGCCTTCGAGCCCGCCTTCCTCCGCAAGCGCAACGAACGCGAGCGGCAGCGGGTGCGCTGCGTGAACGAGGGCTACGCGCGCCTCCGAGCTCACCTGCCCCGCGAGCTGGCGGACAAGCGCCTCAGCAAAGTGGAGACGCTCCGCGCCGCCATCCTTTACATCAAGCACCTCCAGGAGCTGCTGGAGCACCACGCGCGGGGTCAGGAAGGCGCGGCCGGCGCCGGCTCCTCACTCAGGGCCGAATGCAACAGCGACGGCGAGTCCAAGGCCTCGTCGGCGCCTTCGCCCAGCAGCGAGCCCGAGGAGGGGGCCTGTTAGCGAGCGCTGGGCCGGCCCGGACCCCTCCCGCTGCGCCGCGCGCTTTTGGAGTCTGCTCTAAGGTTCCAAAAGGTTCCCTCCGGAGGTGGTTTGCATTTGCAATCTGTTTTTTTTTTCTTTTCTCCAGAACTAAATCTTAGGAAAAAGAAATGAGTGCTTTAGGGGGAAAAAAAGATTTTGACATTCTAGTTGTTTCCACCCCCTCCACCCCCCCTATTGGTTATGTGCCTGCAACTGAAAGATGCTTATGAAACTCTTCCTGTACTTCTCAAAGACAAACTGTACCAGACTCTGAACTCCTCAAAGGGCGAAAACAACGAGGATTTGCCACAGTCAGCGGGGTGGGTAAATTAGGGACGTAAATACTGAAACAAATCCAATCTTAACCAAAGAAGAACTTTCCAAAACTAGCTAACTAACTAAATAACAGCCCTTAAGATGAGCGGAAGGTTTTTCCTGCATTCCTTCATTTGGGAATTGATGTGAAATGTCATTGACACCGTGCTTTGGAGGAAGGTGGCCCAAAGCTGACACCTGGGAACACGTTTGCCAGAGCACGCGGCCAGGCCAGCCTGTGCTGTTGACTAAGCGTGTGGATGGCGGTGCTAGAAAGGACATTCCATATTGGAAACATCCTGTTTTATCAAGAGTGGTCGTGTGGGAGCTTCATAGCATCTAGCAGATAGTAACGTGTCAGTGGCAATGATCTTTTTTTGGAAGAGAACTCAAGATTTGTATGAAAACTTACTTTTCCTCTCAGGTGTCTTGTGCGTTGTGTTTTCATTTTCCTTTTCTTTGCACCCCTCACCTCCACCCCCTTGTTCTCACTCCATCTAACTTTCTGTTAAAGTGACACTGTGACCTTAAAAAAAAAAAAAAGGAAACGCTTAGATGGTTGAATGGGAGGGATTGACGTTGGGACATTCTCATACTTTTATCACCTTGAGGGCTTCCAGCTATACTGAAATTGTCTAGTGACTCTAGAAGTCTTTTAAAAATATTTAATTCTGGTCTTTTTTTTCCTGAGAAACAATTATAAATTCAGTAGGTAAGTCAAATACTTGTTGACATATAAACTTCCTATCTCTAAAGTCTTCTAATATGCTGACTGTCCCTTTCCCTGGAGACAGCTTTGCTCTGGGGGTGAGGGGGCTTGGGGGTGCTGGGAAGAGGACAAAGAGAAAACTAACAGTGCTGAGCCCTTTCCAGGTATTATTTCATTAAGTCCCACACTGAGGTAGGTTTTATTACCCCCTTTCTGCAGATGTGTAAACAGAGGGAAGCAAATAAACAATAAACATCTTTTATGTGCCAGAAATTTTGTTGTGTGGTTTTCACATTTTGTCCTGTTTATTCTCATAAATCTGTGAAGTGGGTATTATACATATTTGTAGTTTAAAAAAAAAAAAAAAAGGCTGGGAGAGGTTACATGCCTTGCCCAGGTTAGTGTTGCTAGAATTAGGTGAGCTGAGATCCAGTCCTAAGTCTGCCTGACCCTGAAGCCCAGGCTTGCTTTCTACCTGACTGTGCTCTCCCTTGCCCTGTCATTTGCTAGCTAGGTGACCAGCAAATGCTTCTTAACCTCTCTGCAACTCAGGTTCCTCCTCCTCATTCCACTACTTCACAGAAGCATAGGTTACAGACCTTGGTCATCTGCAAGCTACAATCCAATGATTAAGTTAGTAGTGTTAGCGTTAGTGTTTGGAGGAAGTACTATTCATTAGCTATACGGAGAGTAAGCCTGGTTAAAAATGATGTCTAGATGGAGTGAGTGTGATTTCTTCAGTGTTCAGAAGGATGGAGTAAACCACACTTTATTAGGGTTCTGTCTTCTATTGTAAGGTTCTAGGGGACATGACTGATGGAATGCTGAATCCATGTTGAAATGCATTACTACTAATATTTATGATGATGAATTATTATGGGATTCTATTGTTTCTTACTGCTCAGATAAATGCTGTGCAATGATTTACTACCAAACTACTTTTTCTTTAGAAGCAGGCAGAGCTCTGTGGTTTGAATGAGCAAGATGGAACAGCTATTTTCTCTTACCCATTACTTAGTTACATTCTGACAAACTCCTATAATGTATCCATTTTTTCTCCAGGCTGGTTCTTACTCCAGTGCAGGTTTCAGTGAAGCAAGTATAGGTAAGATATATTTGCTAATTAGGGGGAAAAAGAAAAGAAAAAGGGAAAGCACTCATGTTACCTCCTGGCTGTGTTGAAGAAGAGGCTAATTAATCAAGTTGTTAATTGGAGAACCTTGAGATACTTTTTTAGGGGTATTCGTTGGACAGTAATAACACTCTTTATTCCTTTTTTCTGCTCCAGCTAATGGGTGAGAACCTTGACATTCTCTTTTCTAAAGTAGGAATAATAATAAAAGAGTATATTTTGTTTAATCTATACAGGTTATGTGGTTGCTTTTAATGCAGGAAAAAAGAAATAAAGATTTCTTCATTTACTTCTTCAAAATATGTGTATAAAATGTGTGAGTAAGTATAATATACTTGGCTGACATGAGTGGTTTATAAAGAGAAGGACAAAGGCAGTTTTAAAAGAGAACTTTTTTTCTGGATAAAATTTCTTGACAGACTTCTAATGAGACTTTTCTTTAAAGTCCTATTGAAAAAAAATAAGTCCTATTGAGAATAAAGCAATGATTTTGAGAAACTTTTTGGGAAAAAAAAATCCTATCTCAATCATGTAACTTTTTTTAGAGGAAAAAAAAAAAAATCAGGCAGTTTTTCTGGAACTTTCCTAATGGCTTACAGGAGGAGCGCCAATCCAGGAATGAGACCTTTTAAAATGTTTAGTCTTCCCTTTTTCTGTGACTGAACACTTAATGAACCACAGAACAATTTGACTCTCGGGAACCCCCTGGCTGTCCAGTGGTTAGGACTCCATGCTTTCACTGCCCAAGGCTCGGGTTTATTCAGGGAACTAGGATCCCGCAGGCTGCGTAGCATCAATGGAGTGGAGAGGAGTTTTATGGAAATGATGCATTCATGAAAGGAGAAACATTGCAAGTCCTTCAAGATCTTCCCTATTTCTTTGGACACTCAGCCCAGACATATCCATTGATTACACTGTATTGCTTTTAGAATATTCATAACACTGATTAATGACACCTCACCCCCATCCCTTGGGTGCAAAGAAGGAGGGGCTGTAGAGGGGTGTGGGAGAGTGTGCCCTCAGGCTTGGCCTTTCACTGATCTGGTGACCTTGGGCGAGTCCCTAACTTTAGTGATCTCAGTTCCCTATGCTAGGGCACGTGAAGACTGGACTGCATGATCTTTTAGGCCTTCCAGCTAGAACATGCCATTCTTCTGACATGTGAAAAGTCCTAGACTAGGGGAAACAAATGGCGGTAAGACATGCCCACTTCCTGCCACACAGTGCAATGGCTCTATGCTTCTGTATCATATTCTCCCTCTAGAAAGATCCAGTCCCAGAGCTGCAGTTTACACTTTGAGTCTAGTTGCTGTTACAACGCTTAATTTTAAAAAGCACAAACTTCATAATCTTCTGTGGAGTGGACTTTGAAGAATCTTACAATCTGGAGGAAAAATGAACCCATTTCACCTCAATATGAGGTAAAAAGGTGTAAGTGTTACAACTGGGGTCCAAAATGAAAAATGCTATGAGGATACAGAGAAAAGAGGGATTTGTTCTAACTTCAGGTGAGCAGAGGACTCGGAGGGAAGGCTTTGGGGGATATAGCATTGGGCAGGTGAAAATGGAATGAGAATTACAGGCAGAGAATCCAAGGGGAACAATTACAGGCAGAGCATCTAGCGGGGAATCGACTGGATTCCTACATAGAAGCAAGGAACTGTGTTTGGAGAATAGAAGCCGAGTAATAGGAGATTAGAAATGACGGCTGAGACTAGGTTCTAGAAAGCATTGAAAGCCCGGCTAAAATAACTTGAACTTTATTTTTAAGACAATGGGGAACTATTGAAAAAAAATGGGTTTTTTTGGCTTGCAGAGAGGGTGAACTGTTCATCGCTGTGGCTGAGAATCACTCTGGTGGCAGGAAGCAGCAGACTGATGGGGTATTGCAATAATGAAGGAAGAGGAAGTGAGGGCTTAAATGAAGGCAGTGGTGGTGGGGATGGGAAGGAAGGGATGGATGGATGAGGAGGTGATGTGGGAGTAGCACTAATAGGTCTTGGCACTCAGAGGACAGGGCTGGGGATGAAGAAGAAGAAGAAGTTAGAGACAACTCTAGTGAGTTCCCACTAACTGAAGTTGGGAATGCAGAAAGAGAGGCAGATTGAAAAGGTACCTGTCTTGATTTGGAGATGCTGGGTTTAAAATATTAATAGGTTACTCCTGCCCGGAAATGCTGACAGTGTGGTCAGGAGGGAAGTCAAGGACAGCTGTAGATTGAGAGGCATAAACATATAAGCAGCAGTAGGAGTAGATGAGATCTCCCAGGGAGAGAAGAAAGCCGGGCAGGCCTACACTGAAGGAGTGGCAGAAGAAAAAATGTCTTTGAAGAGGACTGAGAAGTTGGAAGGAGAACCAGGCTGGTGTGAGATCATGGCAATTAAATGAAGATTTCATTTTGTAAGAAGGAGGCAGTGGACAGCATCAAGTGATTCAGAGATGTCAGGGAATTTAAGGGTGAGAGGGATGCATTGGATTTAGCCATTGAAAGATCACTAGAGGGACTTCCCTGGTGGCTCAGTGGTTAAGAATTCGCCTGCCAACGCAGAAGACACAGGTTCAAGTCCTGGTTCGGGAAGATCCCACATGCCGTGGAGCAAATAAGCCCATGAGCCATGACTACTGAGCCTGCACTCTAGAGCCTGCGAGCCACAACTACTCAGCCCACATGCTGAAGAGCCCGTGCTCCACAACAAGAGAAGCCACTGCAATGAGAAGCCCGTGCACTGTGACGAAGAGTAGCCCCCGCTCGCCGCAACTAGAGAAAGCCCGCGCGCAGCAACGAAGAACCAACACGGCCAAAAATAAATAAATAAATTAATTAATTAATTTTAAAAAATTCTCATGTAGAATAGCATTTACAGAACAACCGGTATAAAGTAACTGCAGTGGATCAAGCACTGATGAGAAAGAAGAAAACAGTATCTTATTTTCTTCCCTTTGTGGAATTATTTCTGGAGACAAGAAGAATAAAGTAACCTAGGAAAAAGGAACAAAGTTTGGAGGCGAGGAGAACTGAGATGCCCTTCAGTTATCTAGATCTGAAGAGACGGGGTCTGCTCCTTTGGCCTAGACGTTTGTGATTTTCGGGTAACATAACTTCAACTCAGGACACTTGAATTTAACTCTCATCCTCCTGACTCCAGGTGCTATAAGTCTTAATTGAATTTGAGAGCAAAGTCCCATCAGACTGGGGAAGGCGTTTCATAGGATGAGTCAGCGTTACCCGGCTATAGCCAACCACGGTTTCAGATGGTGCATTTCAAAAGCTTTCTGAGCTTTTGAAACCTCTGAAGGTTTTTTTCAATGCTCCCAAAGTTATCATTTTCTCCCAAAATGGATAACAATCCCACTTGTCGCCCTGGGAATGAGACTTTTGATGGAAATGTGGCTCAGCGGACTCCTTCTCTGCAGAATGATCACTTCTCCACCCTTCTCTTTCAGGCATCACCGGCCCTTTTATCTCCATGTGAGGCGGACAGACTGCTGGAAGAGGGCAGAGGGCCTGAAATTGCTTTACATTTTCTTTATTGGTCCATGAAACCATAGAACCATTCCCAGCTCTTTGATTATCATCGCTGGGTTGTGTATGCGTTTTACACGCAGGCTCTCTGGGTGGTGAGATTGGTCTTTAATCCTTTCGTAGCTATTTAGCTGTGTCCTTTGCTGAAAACCTGTCAGCGGCCTTCTCATGTGGGGTTACTCACTGTCATTAACCACAGCTAAAATGAAACTGCAGTTGTGGCAGAACGAAGTGCGTCCAGACGATGAAACTCTCCAAACTGGTTTTTGCCTGCAGAGCAAGCCTTGAGGGGGCCACTGCTGAAGACATTTCTCATTTCCCTGACAGTGGAAACATCTCTGAAGAAGGAATCCTATCTCAGGGTCACAGGACTAGAAAGGGCCTTGGGAAATGACCTGATTCAACCCCAGGAGTTTTAGTGAAATGAAGGATTAAACCATGCAGGGCAGAAGCATATCTGTTCTCTCTTAAAAAAACCTCTAATGACAGAAATACTCCACCAGTTGACATTTCCTGAGGGCCTACCAGACAGGAGGCTAGCCCTTCTATGTATTATTCTCATCTGATCTTCACAACCATCCTACAAGGTATGTGTACCACTTCCATTTTATAGATGAGGAAGTGAAGCTTAGAGAGGTTAAGTAGCATATCATACAGATCAGTGGTAGTAAACTGTCTCTGGTTGGTCTTCATCCATCCGTCCGTCCATCCACCCATTCATCAATCAGTAAATATTTACTGGTTGCCTACATGGAGCTTAATTTTAGGAGAGGAAGAAAATCAGTAAACAAGCATAAAAATGCTTCAGGTGGTGATAATGGCCAAGAAAAATAAAGCAAGGATTTTTGTAATTCAATTACTTTTCACTCTCATTTTCAATCAACATCTCTTCTCCTTCTACTGTTCTAAAGCAGCCCTGTGCAGATTTAAATGACTAGACAACTTTCAATCAGACCAGCGTATCTGAAGACTGACATTAAGTTCCCCTGTAAGCTCTTCTTGTTTGAGACCCATGGTTACCACACTCAGCTCAATATCCATGTAAAAAAACGAGGGACAAATGGAATAAAGTGGGGTCCTACTTGATAAGGGGATCCCCATCAATCCCCTTTCACATTCACATCAACCAAAGTTGATTCAGAACATTAGAACACTTCCTGATGTAATTTCGGTTTGACATCTGCAGGTAAGCCAAGTGTTCCCCACAGAGGCCCATGACACTAGCTGCACCTTGACGGAGTAGAAAGGACCTGTGTTCCAGTCCTGACTTCAGCACTTATTGGTTGTTTCCTTGGGCAAGTGACAGGACTGCTCTGAACCTATTTTTCTCATCTGTAAAATTAAGGATAGTAACCCCTATTCCATCTCACAGGGTTGTGGTAAAGGCGAAATGAAGCTACATAAGTAAAATATCTCTCTAAAAAGTGCTATTATCACTATTAACCCATATGCAAATCAATTCTCCAATGAAAGTTAGGGATCGCTTTGCAGAGAAATACACTATCCAATTTGCGGAAAATTCTATTCAGCATAAAGTCAGTTGATATTGATTAAATTCTCAAGTATGAGGACGGAAATAGAAACATACTAGGTTTTCTAATGTGTAAGAAGTCACTCTAAAATTTACAACGGCAATTTACTGTTTCCCACAATTGAGACTGTGAGATTAACTGGGTGGTTCATCTGCTGGCCTCCCTTGGGGAGAAGAGAGAAGATTCTTTTATAAAGGAGAGGGGAAAATTGGGAGGGGCTGTTATAAACAAAGAATCCTCTGGAGGAAACTGGGAGTTCCAAGTATAGTAGCTTTTCATTAGCTGAGCCGTGACTGGCTCTCATTGGCTGGGCTGTCACTGGGCCGGGAGAAATTCTTCTTTCCTCCTGCTGGGTAGTAAAGTAGTAACCTTCTTGCTGTTGGGGTCTGCAGTTGATGGCAAGTGGTGGGCGTGAGAGCTCCCTCTTCTGGCCTCCTGACTCCATTTTAAATGAGGTTTCTGTTTTCTTATTGTTTTTTTAACATCTTTATTGGAGTATAATTGCTTTCCAATGTTGTGTTCGTTTCTGCTGTATAACAAAGTGAATTACCTATACGTATACATATATCCCCTCCCTCTTGCGTCTCCCTCCCACCCCTCTAGGTGGTCACAAAACACGGAGCTGATCTCCCTGTGCTATGTGGCTGCTTCCCACCAGCTATCTTTTACATTTGGTAGTGTATATATGTCCATGCCACTCTCTCACTTTGTCCCAGCTTACCCTTCCCCCTCCCCCTGTCCTCAAGCCCATTCTCTACATCTGCGTCTTTATTCCTCTCCTGCCCCTAGGTTCTTCAGAACCTTTTTTTAGATTCCATATATATGTGTTAGCATAAGGCATTTTTTTTTCTCTTTCTGACTTACTTCACTCTGTATGACAGAATCTAGGT